TTGTTTCACCTGTCTCTGTAGTTGGAGCCTGGAGTGTCCTCTGTGCTGGTCAGCACAACAATAGAGTGAGGACGTGTGATGTGCACGGCTGTGGAGCTTTCAACTCCCACAAGTGATTCTTCCTGATAAGATCCTGAGCTAAACCCTCGGAAGATAACTCATGCTGCAGCATCAAAGCTGAGGAGTTGATAATGCAGCATTTCTGATAACATCTATGATCATGATCTATTCAAAGGGAACAGAAAGTCTAGAGAAGATCAGTCCAACTTTTCCCCCATGACTGGGCAGACATGAATTGCATCCATAGAGAGACATAAGAATTCATTTCCTTGAAATGTGACAAATTGAAACAGACCCTGTTCGATGTCTGTGTAATTCCAATCTTTCCTCTTGCTCTTCTTACAGAGGTAATTACCTACATAAAGCAGTGGACCTGGTGTGTGATGACTTTGGTATTATAGACACTCCGTTCTCAGGCTCTTTGGCGGGTCCAGTTAGTCGGAAAGAGTCTGCTGGGAATCAGTTTGATGGGGTCAAACTTCTCAATGATGGTAAGGAGGACAAGATTTCAACAGCACTCGGAAGTGGGTGCAACAAGCAAAATAATCTTCGGGAGAATGTGAAAAAAGAAAACATATAAAAAATACATATGATATATAATATCAACCATGTTGAAAATCAAGACTTTTATGTCAGATGAAAAAAAACAGGTTAAGAAATCTATAGCCACATAAAAAGCTGTGTGAGACTGTAGTTCTAATGGCAAAGAAAACCAACCTGTTAGCTAACCCATGATGCTGTTTGATATAACATCAGGGGGAGCACCAAGGTCATTTTGATATCCGTACCGAATTTCTGGCAGTCGAGCTAATATTTTTTGAGATATTTTAGTCGATTCTTAACCCTCCTGTTGTGTTCGTTTCCACCCCCCCTTACACCCTTTCAAACTGTACATATTGTATCAGACTACTGGTATACATGAAAAACTGCAGTAAATAAACAAAGAACAGACAATGAACATGTATTGCGTGTGCCAGGTGTGATCCATGTGGGGGGATGGGCACATAAGAGCGGGAAATGTATCGTGTGTGTGTGTGTGTGTGTGTGTGTGTGTGTGTGTGTGTGTGTGTGTGTGTGTGTGTGTGTGTGTGTGTGTGTGTGTGTGTGTGTGTGTGTGTGTGTGTGTGTGTGTGTGTGTTATCTGATCCGGATGGTTACTAATTCCTTTTCTTTATGGGAACACCATGGTTACAAAGTTGACTAAATCATCCAAAATTCAATGAAAGTGGTGATCAGCAATTTTATATGTTCAAATGTCTACTGTGAAGGATATCATAAAGCCTTAATGCAATCTAATGTAAAACAAATAAGTTAGGATTGATGAAAGTAGTAAATCGGTCAGATTTGACCCGAGCACAACAGGAGGGTTAAATGGTTGACCAACAAACTGCGCTGATATCGCCACCTTTAGAGAGATGGCTAAAAATCGCAGGTTACATTTGCTCAGTTTTATAGAAATTCCATCTGAAAGTTAAGCAAATGTAACCTTGTTGTGCTACCTCAGCTGGTGAATTCATGTAATATGTAGTCTATGGGGCCATGGCTAGGGCAAATTGGAATTATGTTCCTATGGTGGAGGCGTTAGGTTGGGATGGAAAGCAGGATAGATTTATTGGAATTAGTCAAGGTGTTGGAGAGGGGAGCTGGGACTCTATTGAACTCTCAGTAGCATCTAACACCAAGACCCAGCTGCATGTGAAACCCCATCAAAGGCTGTTTATGAGTAATGACCCCCACTAAGGGCCATCATTACAGAACAAAGCAGTGCATCAGCGCTTGTGTGTTTGTGTCGATGGAGCCGTGCAGAAGAGCGCACACATGCCTTGGCAGTGTACAGTATGTTTGTGTCTGTGTTTATCAGAGTGAGTTATTTTGAGAGCATCCTGAGCTGATAAGGCACTGGAGTGATGAGTAAACATCATTAGTCCTCATTCTGCCTCTACCTCTAATTGAACTGTAGCCTATTATCAGAAGAACACATGTACTGTCAGCTCCTTTCATCTCCGGGTAATGCACAGACATGATTAGACATCACAGAGACACATTACCTTTCCATGGTACCCACATTAATGCTGAGACACTGATCATTAGGAGCTCGGAGGATCTAATGATGGTGTTACATTCTAGACTAGCCTACTTTTAGGATGTGTGTTTCTAAGGTGGCATCTTACTTGTGATTGTCTGCAGAATGGCAAAAGTGAGATGGTCCAGCATATATATTTGAAATGTTTAAATATAAGTAATAATAAGTAACCATATATTTCCACATTTCATATTTGTTGGATAGCTTAGAATATTATCAGCACATATGCGCTATACCTTACAACAAGTTTAATACAGCAAATTAAGAGGGATTTGTAGGTTTTAGGAAACAGTTGCCAGCTATCTCCACATTTCATATTTGTCAGGTGGCCTAAGAACATTTTGATTTATAGGTGTGCTATACATTCATACAAATATTTAATTAATGTATGTATCCCCTAGGTGAGTGGCATGCTGAAAGTTGTTTAACTCCTTTGTTTTTCTCAAACAAGCCCAACTATTATCACAGAAAGAGCTTTCTACTGAGTTCATTCAACCAATTTCTCTCAAATGTACCCTAATGAAAGTAAGGTAACGACAAAAACCTGACTTTACAGGTATAACTAAGCAAAAAATATAATTAGATGTGTCAGTGAACTTAGCATCATCTCTTCATGTTACAAATATGTGAAGTATTCTTAAACATGAAGTAAAAAGGGCATACTCGTAAATAAATAAATACATTTTAAATAGGTTCAAGCTGAAATAAGAGGGCAACAGTATCCACAAAACTATAATTGTTGTTTCTATTTTATCCAGTGCACTGTGTGAAGATCTTCAACATCCGTCCTTACCGTTACATGGGCCCGGTGGTTTAGGGAGAGGCCTTGGGGTATCTGTTGCCGATGCAGGAACGCTTTTTAGGCATCACATCTCACATGGAGCTCCAAATGTGTGATGGCACTGACCCTTCAACTTTTATTTGACCTCTAACCCATGGGGGCCAAATTCAGGAGACCACAGGGGAGCTTGTTTGCTCTTAATTTAATAAGACATGAGCTACCCTGATAACCTTATTTGTGAAATGTTGGGGGTCTCTAAAATATTGGCAGTATATGCGTTTCATGTCATGCAGTTCTATTTATTTGCCTCTCCATCATAATGGATCATGAATACGATTAGGGTATTTTGATCTATAATTCATGCATCATCCTCAAAGCCTGACCTAGAACATCAAAAACCTCACTTACGTTCGACCAAATTACCAACATTTCTTTTTTTATCCCCAAAGTGAGCTCCCCTCAAAGATATTGTATAGTTGACACTCTGCTCTGACCTATTAACTGTTATGGAGTCTTTACCTCTGTGACCTCTACTTAAATTACCCTTGACTCTTGACCTTTAAAATTACCCCTGATCTCGTGCTGCCAGTTTCAGTATTTTTACACTTAGGTTTTTATACAAAATGTAATAATCTGAAAAGTTAACTGAAAGATAGTATCTATAATAACTCTTGCATCCCTTTTACTTATGTGACCATCCTCAACACGATAACTCATATAACCCCATTTATGTAACCTTTGTATTTGAATGATGAGATAAAAACGTACTTTCATTTCTGCTTTTGATTAAAATAGACAATTTAATCAAAAGCTGTTCTTAGTCTATCCAATAACCCAGTTGGAAGTCAAATGGAGAGTCACATATTTTAGGGACTGGTCATAACAATGGTTTTCCAATATGTAAGTTGTTAGGAAAATTCTGGCTACTGACCTTTTTTTATCTGTAATAAAGCTTAATTTCATAATAATCAGCTGTAATGATAGAGGAAGGGCCCTGCTGCCTCAGTTAGAGAACTGCCACATGTACAGTTTAAATGTAATGAGTACTACAAACCAAAAGATGGCGCTGTCTTGCAACAAAACTGTCAGTTATCTAAAACTTGGTGACCAGTCTTTCTAAAACCTATTATCATGAGGCAGGTATATCAACTGTAGTACTTTATGATATTCAGGGAGGAAATAATGACAAATCTGTACTTACAAAGCACATTTCCAGTTTATCATATTATAGTTGTAACCAGTCCATCACTAATAAAGAATCAATCATCACAAACACACATGGTTATTATAGCATTTAAGGGATTTAGGTTGAGAAACAGATCAGTCAGCCATAACACCTAGACACAACAGGTTGTGAAAAGTGTATGGAAACTCTATTAGTACTGTATAGTAACTAAGTCTTGAGTATGAGGACATTAACAGTGTTTCATACTTGTGGACAGAAGAGGAAAAGTAATCAGATCTTGTACTTTAGAACAAGTAGAATAAGTACCAGAGTGTCAGTGTAGGATATCCTGCAATCAAAATGTTACTAAGTAAAGTATAAAAGTATCGGTATCAAAATATACTTGAAGTACCAAAAGGAAAAGTACTCATTATGCAGATCGGCCAATTTCAGAATAATATTGTATGTTTTGATAATAATGACTGATGAATTAAAGTGTTATCAAAGATGGTAAAGGTGCAGCTCGTTTTAATTATACTGCAGGGTAGTGTGTGGGTTTACTCCAGGTGTAACTAAAGTGTTATTGCTTATATTTCACATAATTTATCCAAATCTGCAAAGTGACTTAAGATATAAAAGAATTGTAGTGGAGTAAAAGTACACTATTTACCTCTGAATAGTAGTGGAGTAGTAGAAGTAGAAAGTAGCACACAATTGAAACTCAAAATGACTTTAAATACAGTAGGCTACTTGACTCAATTTACTTTACTTTACACCACTGCATGTGGCTCAAAATGTTTTGTAGAGCTATGAGGGCATGAATTGAAGTCGAACCCATGGGTTGACCCCCAGAGTGATCTGCAGCCCTATGGTCTGTGACGCTGAGGGCTGGTCCTTGGAGTATACTGGAGCGTGCAGTTGCTCGAATGGGAGTGGGCGAGCTGGGATAGGCTGGGAGTTTGGTCGGAGCCGTCAGCGGGACGGGACAAGGCACAAGAAGGGGGGCAAACGAAGAACCGACCGACTATTAACTTCTGCCTTCTCAGCGGCTGAATGTTGGACAGGAAATTTGACCAGTTTGACGTAGACAGCTTTACGGAAAATACCATTTGTTGCATTCAGAGGTCCGGGTCTGAGCGGCGCGGATGACAAAGAAGCGTCCCCGTGCAAACTTTCTCAACCGGGTGTGATCGCTGTTAAAACCCAACCGGGAATTCCGTTTTTCTTTTTATCGGAGGAGTAAAGAAGAGGACATCATGCCTAGGCGCACCGTGCAAGAAGTAACGGTGCAAGATGTCCAGAAAAGGAGAAATCCGAACAAACACTACGTAAGCCTAAATTATTTATCACAACCACACTGATTTGCTGCTAAAGTGAGCGACAGAAAGAGGTTATTTTGCTGCTTTTCTCCCTCTCCTACCCGGTAGAGTAAAAACAAAGAGAGTGTCAAATTACAGTTTACCAAGCCAGCCGAAGCGATCTGTTGTTTAATCTTTAGACATATCATGGATTCATAAAGAAAACACCACAATACCAAACAGATGTGTTACATTCCTACAACCCATAAGACATTTAGACAAGTTTGATAGTCGTAAACCGTTATGGTCTTGCTTATAGTTTTGGCTTTTTTTCAAGTTGACATTTATCTTACACCTAATGGGTTAATCACTTCTTTGTTTGAGTTTGAAATGTAACCAGCAACTTCTTAATTCAGGAAACAGTGATGTTGTTTTGAGGAACGTTAAACTCATGTGACATTTAACCCTCTCTGTCTGCATACATTCAATTAACTATCAACAGTTCAGTTGCCTATCACATGTTTACATGAATGTAGGTATTGTATTAATTCTGCCAAAGTCTGCAGTCTCGATCAACAAAACAATTTATAGTAATTTCTAGGCCCTGCTGCCATGGTGTGCCACCAGAAAGCATTTTAATAGGCAAACCAATCCAGTCCACAAACATCCAGATTAATCCCCATGAGTTTAAATTGAGCAACAGCTTTGTCATGCCTCAGCCACCTCCAATTTACTCAGATAAACATGCCTTCAGGCACTGGCGAACCAGGAAGTAGGCTAACAAGAGTTTCTAAGGTCATCACAGTGAACACAAAGTAATGTTTGAAAAAGGGTCGGGCCTAAACAGTAAAAACCATATGCCATGTGGCATTTGTAATTTAATTACCTCAGTGTTACAGTGCAGTAGGCTTTATTGCACTTTTTATTTTATGTGTGTTTTAGGTCTAGGGCATGTCTGCTAGTCACTTTTATTGATAGGCTATTTATGAAGATTTCTGGTTTGGGTGTTGTCCATGTTTCAGTCTTGAAACTTTCACACTTTCACCATGTGTTTTCAGTTTATTTAAGTTAAAGGTGGGGTAGGTAAGTTTGAGAAACCGGCTCGAGATACACTTTTTGTTATATTCCATGGAATGCTCTTAACATCCCAATAGCAATGAATATCTTAAGTGCTTTGACAAAAAATCCATACAAAAATGTCATCTGTGGAAGCCGTAATACTGTAAAAAGTACGACCAATCATTTTAGCCGGCCCGGCTAAAATAACTGGATGGCCTACCTGCCTGTCAGCCTTCCATCTGTGCACAAACTTATCTCGTGCCCTCATTGGTCATGTGCGCGTTCGTGTGTGTTGGAGGAGGGGCTCTGTAAGGAAGTGGCAGATTTTTTCCGGCTGTGTATTTTCAAATTCTAGCGATCTCGAGCTGGTTTTTCCAAAATTACCTACCCCACCTTTAATTGTTACATTTCCGTCCCTTACATGTCTTGTTTAGTGTTCAGTGGTACTTAGCTCCACCCTCACATGCCTCTTATGGTTCTAAAAAAACGAAATGGCGAAGGCCAATACGCCAAACAAGTCGACTATGTCCAATTCTTATACTGTACACAGGCTACGGTTCTTCCCAAAACTTTGTGTGGGGTCACAATAAGAAAGTACAATAAAAGTCTGTTGATATTTTTCCTGTTTCAACAGTAATTCCCCATTGGAACTGCAACCCCAATTGTGTGGGGGACAAGAATGTCTAAAAGACAAAGACCGTCTTCTTGCTTTCTGCAATTTTGAAACAATGGTGGTCTCATTATTTTGCCGTTTAAAAGTATGTGGGTGAATTTGTCTGCAGAAATGCACGCAGTTAGTTTGAATTAACACACATGACATCATATGATCTAGAAGGCCAATCGTGAGAGCCACTACCAAGGCCATAGCAGGTGTTAGTGTGTGTTCTGTATTGCATATGTGGGTTTGCCTCCATATATGTGTGTAAATGATGCCTTATACCGCTGTGAGTGTTAGTGGTCAAGGACACAGAGTTCTCGAGGTCCTGTGTCCTCTCCATCTGTCTGTTTGCTCTGTGGTGCAGCCCATGTTGTTTTGTGCTTCTGGTTCTCTCTCCACACATGCAAGCGGGACATATTAAATCTTCCAGAACCCTGGAGGTGTGGTTAAAGTTTACAAAAAGCAGCTTATAGCTCTTCTGCTCATCAGAGTTGAACCAACTCTATAGGAAGGAAAAATGCTTGAAAATCTAACTCCTAAGAGACATACAGATCATTAATATATCAACATTGCATTTCCAGTATTAGTATTTTATTGACCAGAGACGTTTATATAGTTTAGGTTATAGCCACCCCTTTCTTCCACACAGCTATAGCCTATGGCTTATATTTTCCATTGTAGATGTTGTTCTGGCAAATTAGAGAGCCTTTTTATATTTGGATATACTGAGCCAAGGATACCTTTTTTGTATATAATTGTTCTCTCTCTTATGTAGCAAACAGTTTTTAGCCAAAGAAAATGCCCTGAAAGTAAAATGTTCTCATGTTGGATACAGATGTATCTATTGGCTTAAGGTTAAACACACCAATACATCATTCTTTATTTAATGAATACAGGCTGGTCTGCATAGCTTCTGTAGTGGATCCATCCATGGACATATCTAACAGAAGTTCCCTGAAAGAGAGTGAGCGAGGCCAGAGAAGGTCTGGGAGAGGGGCCAACACAATTCAGCCAGACACAGCAAGCCACCAGGGAGTTTCCAATCACCTCCCTGCTTCTCCCCTAGTCTTCTTTGGAAATCAAAATAAAGAACTGTGTCTATTCCCTGTAGACTGCAATGATTAGGCTAGATGCTTTTCGCTGGATATTTAGTTTAACCTGGTATACTGTTGCTGATGGAATTTGCACAAAATAACTGTGTTTTAATTCACTTAGTTCCACATAGGTAGCAACAACTAATATCTGTATCCCAATGGAGTCCCAAAGGCTAGATGCTTTTCATTGGATATTTAATTTGACCTGGTATACTGTTGTTAATAGTATAAGGCTGATGGAATTTGCACAAAATAACTTTGTTTTAATTCACTTAGTTCCACTTAGGTAGCAACAACTAATATCCCAATGGACTTAAAGCATTTTGCAATGTACCTCAAAATGTGCAATATTGAACACAAGGCAAAGTCAAATCTGCTGCATCAAGGATAAGGACTTCCTCTTCAGCAGGAAGTGACACGAATAAGGAAATGAAATAATCGGATATCCCAGATGCCTTTGTGTGAACAGATGTTGATTGTGACTGCAGCCTTTCGTCATGCCATCGAAACTCTTAGAGTCACAGCACTGCCAATTACTGGCACCATGAGTGATGACTGATGCTCCGGGGGGTTTGCATTGTCAAGTGGTTGACAATAATAGCTGTCTGTTAGTTTAAATGTTCCACTAATTTGTCTCTTTTGTTTTTACAGGTTTACATCATCAAAGTGTCCTGGAGCGATGGCAGTACAGAAAGCATTTTCAGACGCTACAGCAAGTTCTTTGACCTCCAGGTGAGTAAGATGCATGTGTCACTGTTTGGCAGTGTGTCTTGGTATGCTATTGGCTGTAGTTGTGTGTGCTGTTGCATGTATAAAGACAAGGAGACAAGTTCTATCTTTTCCATCATTGAAGTCTCGCATAAAACAGGAAGTGAATGGAGGTACTTTCTACATTCAACACTGTCCCCATGTAGACCTAGTGCTGGTAGCCAAGCTATCCCTGCTCCACCCTAACAACACTGGTAATTATATTGTGCGTGAGGAGTCGGAAAATGTCCCAATGAAGTTAATAGAGGACAGTGATGAATGTGTCCACCGCACTGATGACCACAGAAATGTCTGAATCATTCTCGAACGTCACACTGGCAGTGTGTGTTGCACAAGGAGGGAATCTCATTAGTATACTAGTTTCCCTTCCTCTTTCAAAGGTAATGGATCTAAGACCCTGGCCGTATCTAAGCTTAGAGAACATAGACTTAAGGAAACGCAGAAAGGCAACCCTTTCTAATGAGCACAAAGTCAATAAAGGCAAAGCATACTTTCAATCCTAATTGGATTAAATTCCTTTTAATTGATTAGGATGGTCAAAGCATGAGCAATGAATTCAACAATTACAATGCTCTACCAAGGTTTCTCTGAGGCTGCAAGTGCCATGTTAACCAGAGGAATATAAAAGGTTTCATTACTAATTTCATTATAGTTTGACTTAAGGCTTCTGAAGCTGCCAACAGTCTTACTTATAAATCGACTGATACCACACTCATGATTATTTTTTCAATTCTAGCATCTATCGATTGTTGAAATCATGTTAAGTGCTGTAATGTGCTCTTTAATGATACACATTTAAGAGGTATTCAATCATCCATGCCCACAGTAGAAGAACTTTCAATCATTAAGACCTGCACCAAGAATTAAATAACTTGATTCTTCCGACACGACAACTATAACCAATTCAAAATGTGGGACTTTTGGACTGGAATTTAGGCAGAACGTTTTTTTCATTGGCTTCTGTATCATTCTTTCAATTACATAAATATAATAATTTATTTAATTTATTTAAATATAACCTTAAGTAATTCAGATTTGGTAAACATTCACAGTGTTGATAATTCAATACATTTCGTCCAGTCATAGCACTGATTTGCTTTTGATGTCTCTGGCTCAATGAGGGCTTCAAGACTCTGATAGTGCTATGACTATAAGATGAGAAAATTGGTAAACTTTCAAATAAGAGGAGGAGATTGCCTCCAAACATCAATAAGAGGGAAGTTTTCTTTGCAAGTGCTGGAAAGTGAGATTTAAAGCCAGAAATCAAAGCAGCTGATAAATAATTTCTGCTTCAGAATGGATCAATGACCGTACATGTTGCCAGTTTTATGCTAACTGTCACCAATGACTATTAACAATATCATTCCATGTTTGTTTCATCTATAGAACCAGCACAAATGACTACTTACGCTAGGCCTTTTAAACAGCAATCGAATCAATGGCATTGAACCAAATGACCATATGTGAGATATTTTCAGCAGGGGCATTCCCCGCTGGTGTTCACCCTGCCATGCTTTGCAGCTGCTTCCTGCAGAGCTGACTGGCTGTGGGTGGGCTCTCACCAGTGAGGGAGTTGTAGTTAAACCCAACTGTGGAGAATACAAGCCAATCTCTTATCTCGTGTTAGATTTGGCATGACATATTCTTAGCAACCTTGAGGATGTGGTATTTCTTACAAAAAAGTGGCCTGTTGGAATGCTAAACATCACTTCAGCTTCTTCACTAAGATAAAGGGATTTATTTTAAAGATATTTTTTAACATAATATTTAATAATTTTAACCTGGCACAATGTGCTCTATTAGGAGAAATAAGGAAGTGGTGTGACATCATCAGAAGTCATCCCAAGTAGCAAGGGTAGTGACTTAAGGCTGAGTCACTAATTTCGTCGCATTTCCCGTCTTCTCTGGTCATCTCTAATTCTCTCTAAGTCTATGCTGTTTGCTGCTTCAAATGAAGTTTCAATCATCATACAGAAACCTCAGAGCCAGACAGGAAGTGTTATTCACCACATCCCGTCAACACAGCTGGACCAAGCAGCTGATGCTCAACCATGCTGCAACATGTGCTTTGTATGTGATCACTGACCACAGCATGTGTTTATGCACTCAGTCTGAAGGGAATAGGATCTTTGCATTTTCCATAAATCCACAAGCATTATTTTGATTTGGATGGCATTATATCAGTTTTATAAACCGATCAAATCAAGACCAAGTTGGAGTAAGCAGAGAGTGGTCCTTTACCATTTCAAAAAAACGATCTACAAGCAGACTATACATGTCTAGATATACTTTTAGACTAATCAGTCAGACAATCCTCCACCCAAAACATTTTTAATTCACACGCACCTTTTTCCTGCAACACCCACATCAGTGTCTTAATGTAGCTGCTACCCTTAAATAGCATCCGAGAGTTACGTAGGGGAAATATTCTGTGGTAGGAAATAATTATTGTGCATGAATGTCTTTAATGCAAAATGTGTGTGAAGTCTTCCAAGCATTTGAATACTGAGATAATGAATTAAGCAGTGAGCTTTTCAACATAAAGTATTTTTTCTTCCTTGTAAATTGTGAACAAAAATAGACTAAGCTGTTGCTTAAGAAAGATGGAAAGTGCAGAGATATTTTTGTCATGGGTTTATCAATTTTATTTCCATGTCGCTAAGAATAGTTTCCATGCTGCACACTCAACTTCACAAGCTCAGTCTTCCAGCAGTCACTTTGGATAAACGGTACTTTTTAGATTTTCAGCTGTAGGAAAAAATCCAATATATTGCTACTTTCTTATTCAGGGCTGCACAGCTGTGACACATTTTCCATCTGCAATAATAAAGTAACAAAACGTATTAAAGGGCGGAGGTCATTTTGCTCGAACTATGGGGATGCTTGTTGGGCTCATTCCATCAAGCAGCAACAATGTGCTCCATTCCTTCTTGTACACATTTTCAGCCCTTTTCAAAATATGATGTACCATAACCCAAAACATGTGTTTTTTTATTGAGAGAATGTTAAAATATTGGTATGTTTCTGAAGTTCAGTTTAGAGTACTTGTATGGAAGAAATATTCTGACTTTAGTTACTGTGGACAAAATAACTGCACAGATTAAATCAATGCTCTTCTTTACAGCTTCAGGGATTATGTCACAGCAAGCAACTAATATGCCTATTTGAAAATGTAGAAATAGGCTAAGTATATTTTCCCAGTGTTTGTGTTTTTTCCAGTAAACCAGGCTGTATTGCACCATTTTTTCGGAGTAGCCACAACTCAGTATGACACAACTGTCATGGTGGGAGAAATATCCTTAAACCAGTTATGCCCACCTCTATTAAGTAAACAGGGAGACTATTTCCAAATTGAGAAACCAGGGTCAAGCAAGTTTATTTGTACTTGTGTACTTGAGACACACCGAACTACAACCAGACCCTTGAGGCGTCCTGTTTAGCTGACCTTTGGCTGTGACCTCTGGAGGTGGCAATGTAAAAAGAAAACAGCCCTACAGGGACTAAGCACAAGTCGAATTATTTATAACATATCTAGACTGACCACACTATGCACCAATATTTTCCATAGCCTTGGGGTTTACTATTTGCTAACATTTGCATATACTATTGGTTAAAGTAAATAAATATGTTTATCAGTCTATCAATGGGATAATGAGGAGTTATTTGTACTACTTACCTCATTGGTGGACTAACAACTTAGCCTGCCATTAATGTGATGTACTGCATAACTGTATGGTTGTCTATAAAGGGTTAAAAATGACCTCAATCATGAATGTACAGTGGACTGGGTGAAAGCTTCAGAGGACTACTGAGATAGGCATGTTGCAAAGAGAGCAGCCATTGTTCTTTTATACTCTCATTAAATGGTGTCTTGTTCGTCTTAGATCTTCTTTACTACGCGTTTATTTGAAGTCTGATGATGTGGTTTAAGCGGATATAGACTAGACAAATTAAAGCCCCCTTGGAAGATTATATTCTTGAATCTACAAGTTGGTGTATACATCACATAAACAGTGTATTCAAGTTTACAGCATTACTGGGAAAATGAAAAATCTAGTAAAGTGATAATGAAAAGGGTTTTCCTTTCTTCATTACATCCCTGTACTTGGTTTGTTGGTCTAACTGTAATCAATCAATTACTAAAATGTTCCAGTCTCAACATTGTTTTTATTAGTGGCAGAATCAACATAGACACATTAGAGCACATAAAGTGCAATTTTATAATAGTTGTGATTAGGGATGTCCCGATCACCTTTTTTTGCTCCCGATCCGATTCCGATCATTTGATTTTGACAATCTGCCGATACCGATTTTTCCCGATCCGATCTTTATGCAATGCATTAAGAGGAAAAAAAAGGTAACAGATAACGGCTGGTCATCCAACGCGATGAATTCAGCTATCTTGGCTGTTATTCTTTTGGCCTTTTCACTGTTCTGGGGCAGTTTCTCTTTCCTTTTAAAAGTCTCTGAAAGTGTTGGTTGTTTCAGTGCCGTTACCTGAGTGGCCGCTGTGTACTCGTCGTGTTGTTGTTGGTGTTCGTATTAGATTGGTCGTGTTGAACGTAGCTCTGTTCTTTCCACCACGCGGAACCTCCGCCTTGCAAACATTGCATCTGGCTGTTACACTGCCTTCGCTTTCAATTTTATAATACTTCCAAACTCCTGACATTTTCTCTGTCCCGGCTCCCGAGTCACCAGCTGAACGTAGCCTCTTGTTAGCTTACTGCTACTATTAGACACTGCGCCCACTCTGTTGCCAGATTTGAGAGAAATAAGCAACCAGGTCTATGAAAACAAGCCCAAAAGAAGCAACACATACATGATGTTGTGTAATTTTAACCCAAAACTAAGGCCTCAGGATGACTTTAAGACGTGAACATGGTCATTTTTGTTTTGTAACATTAAATAAAATGTATAAAAATATTTTATAAAAAAAAAAAAAAGATTCCGATCCCCGATTTTTTTCTCCCGATCCCCGATCACGTGAAAATCACGTGATCGGGGACATCCCTAGTTGTGATTCATTTCCCCTGCCGCTTGTATGTGCAAATACAATAGAGTTGACTTTCTCATTATGTTAATGTTAATGTTTGGGGACAATGTCAAGAATTACCCTCTTGCCTTAACAGTTTATCTTCAAAGTGCTTTTACATTTTTTTACATTTCCATGACAGATGATAGCTCTGCTGAATATTGATATATATTCTTTAAATAAAAACAATATCTCCTCATCAGGCCATGTTGAATGAGAGAATGCATCTATGAGCCAGTGGTACTTCCAAATAAATTAGTTTTTTTAAATGTAGCATTGCAGCTAGGTTTTTAGTTTAACTAACAATTTCATATATTCTGACAGCATTGGCATACTTTCAGAGATATATCCAGAGCTGATAAACTCATGTTATCATTTAATGTAATCAGTGTGTGATGTCCATAAATGACTATCGGCATGCTTCTTCCTCTGAAATGAACTCAGCAGGATACAGTTTACAATAACATACTTCAGAGTAGCCTTGGAACGCCATGTGGAGCTTGACTACGCTCCGCCTTGGCCTGTCATGCCTGTATTTGATGTTGGGCACATGATGTAACTGGTATTTTGAAGGGACGTCTTTACTCTCTCCAGATGCCTTTTCTTGTTTGAGTGGCTCTGATTACAGAGTAGATACAAGGTTTAGAGTAGACACAGAGACTGGGTGTGTCTGCACTCACAGTCAGACATATGGGAACAATTACAGTGTGTGGGGTATTGGCTCTTCTGTCTCTGTCTGCCCATCTCATTCCTCATGCTGTCTCTCTTCTACTGTGTCAATGATGAAGCATCTGACTTTTAAGACAAGCAGATTGTTGCTTTGTTAGTTTGTTTTTGTCCTTTTCCAAATTCTTTATTTGACTCTGTTGTATCTCAACAACCCAACCTATGTGGAATGACTCACCTCTTTTTGGACTTTCTTTAGCAGACAAAGAGGGTTTAGTGCCCTCTATTCCTTTTAATGTTTTTGTCTCACAAGAAAAGTAGTTGCAGTGCACTCATATTTAATTTGATACAGTATTCAATATTCTTTACAGCCAAATGCAGGATTAAGTTGTGATTCATGTTATCTTTAGTTGGTTTGAGTTAGTTTGCGATCCAAATAATACCAAAGCTCATGTGTGTGACTTATGAAAGCTAAGACTGCTATTGGGTTATTTGTTTTGCAATTTATTTATTGGATTTGTCACAATAAACTGCTTGTTATTATTGCTTGGCCAAAAAGGCCCTATCAAAGGTAATCTAGTGGAAGAAGAATCTGTTGAGTTCAAAACAATTTAAAATTAAGTTTAGCAATCAAAGGCAGTGTCTTTTTCTTGGCTTTTCATTTACATCAACCTCCCTTAAATGTATTTTTTTATCACATATCCCAAACATAACTTTTGATGAATAATCAAAGCTCAATTAAAAAAGTTCTGGTGAATTAATGGAGTGAGCACCCTACAACTCAAATCCTCTACAGTGTGATGTGCATGTTCCATTTTTCATTATCAACATGTTGAAAATTGGATTTAAGAGTAGGTGGTTCTGAGGAGACAATTATTAACTTGATATTTTGTTTCAGTAATATTTCATTTTGACATCAACCTTGATGCTTCTCATTGTAAAATACTGGATGAGTGGGGTTACCAAACCAAATACAGATCTGCCCTACGTAACGCATCAAAAGTCGACATTTTAGTTGAAACATTTTATCCCAGAAAAGACCAATTATCGATAGATTAACATATCTGAAGATATTCACATTGTAATACAGAAATAATCAAATCCATACAATTCGGAATGAGATCGGCAGGTCTAAAGAAATACAATTCTTCATACTAACTTTTTTTTTAATCTTAATGATAGCAATTGTATTGGCACCTGAGATCTGATAATTAGCCTAAACGAACCAAAGCATTATCTCTAGAAATGTCCTATTGGGTATTGCCAGTGTTGCATAGTCTAGAAATAAGTGTTTCTTACCAGTCCAGTATACAGTGATATTTTGACAATGCAAAAATCCCTGATTTGGATATTTGAAAGCAAGTTTGTTTTGACACTTAAAAGCCTCTACGGAGCTCAGTCTTCATAGATATCATTGAATCAGGTTGACATTGAACAGACCACAGACAGAAAAGGTATTGTTCTCACTATTTGAAAGCCCTGTCATCGTGTGCAGTATATTGTACAGAGGGAGAATGGTAAAAAGTGTGGAAACGGAGACAAAAAATAGACTATCATAGGCGGTGGATTTTAAAGAAAAGGAACAGAATCAAAAGAAGTGTTGATCAGCAGATCTGAAGAATTTCTGCTCCCTGGCCTTTGAAAATCATGGAAACAAAAATGTTCCACTATGTCAGTGGTGCCTTTGCCGCTAACAGCCCCTTTGCTGCAACAACATATAAAGTAGAGGGGAAAACCATACCATCTGCTCAGGACATTGCTAATCATTGGCAGACCTTCCTTTATTGGCTGGATTCCTTATAGGAACTGCTGATTTGTAAAAATGTGAACCTTTCCTCTCCAGCCTCAGCTATCCTGTTGTGTGAAATGTAAAGGGCATGTTTATGCTTATGCGTGACTGTAAATGCTTTGTGTGCTAATAAATCTTAATTAATTGCGGTGTTTCAGATGGAATTGCTGGACAAATTCCCGGTGGAAGGAGGCCAAAAAGACCCTAAGCGCAGGATCATTCCATTCCTACCAGGTAAGAGTTAAACACACAGTGGCCAAGGCCCTAACACACATACAAATGCATGCACGCACACAACTGTGGCTTGTTGATAAACAAAAGAAGAGAAACGCCAATCACTCTTCAAAGATTCTAAAATGTGACGATGTGGTTTTTAATTATATTAAAACAAATTGACTGTAACTAAGACACACATTAAAAAATGATTCAATTTATCTGGAAATGTATCATGGAAATTGTTTTTTTGGCACAAAATGTTGCAAGACAATACACAGAGAAGAGTGACCTCATGTATTATCTCATGAATCACTCTGTATTTACCGCTCACTGTATTGTGTCTTTTTCCTATCCCTGCTCATTTTGAATTCTCCATCATGTGCACACAGTGGGTTAAGATTTGTACAATGATGACTCACTGTGAGTCTGGCTGTGAATGAACTTAGAAAAGCTGTACATTTTGCACACAAAAGAACCAACCAGAAAAATATGCTACAGCCATGTTTGGCCAGAACCTCACTGATTCTGTGAATCAAAAGAATATGTTTATCATCTACTCACTATCAGCTGACTCAGATTATCCTTAAGCATATTGCCCATAGACTTATTAAACTATTTTATAAACTAGTTTGGCACCTTGGGTAAATGCTAAAAAGTAAATGGTTATAATGTGTAAAAGTAATTATGAGCTTTTGTCTTGCTCAACTGCACCTATGTCTGAATCATCCAGAGTCAAATCTGACTGGCCAAATAATGCTTTCTTATTTTAAGTCAACATGGCCAACAAGGTTTGTTTGGAATAAAGGCTTCGGGTGTGCTAGTCCAACTTTTGAAATAGTTGAAGATTTAGATCCTGCTGAAAGTAATCCTTTATGAGAGTTTGGAAGAAAGCCTCACCCAAAGACCCCACCCACATCTCCCAGGGTGGGGGGGATAGGATATGTTTTGTGGCCACGCAGGTCTGGAACTCATTGAGAGAAAATACACACACACACACACACACACACACACACACACACACACACACACACACACACACACACACACACACACACACACACACACACACACACACACACACACACACACACACACACACACTAGCAGACTGTTTGATGGACTCTGAGTAGGAGGAGGGGAAGAGAGATAGATTACCACAGCTTTTCATACCATCTCCTGCTATCCCTTTATACAGTCAGATGAAGCATATTGGCCATGGATAGTATTTGCAATTCTCATCTTCAATAAACTCTTCTTCTTTCCTTTTTTTACCTTTTTAGGCCTTCAAATTAAAAATGTTCCCATACCAATCCCTGTCTACTGAAGCTCTGATTGGTGGTAGAGGCTTTAACTTCTATATAAAAAAGAAGTTAAAGACTCTAAATGGTGCCATGTTGGAAACAGTTATTTTGTGACACAATGTGTGACATACATTATTTATGCTTATTGCCTGCATGAATTGAGGTTTAAGAGAATGATCATTACTAGTCTCTAATGCCAGATCAGGTCATACACCTCTCTGAGACAGATTCCAAGCTAATATTTTGAAGATCTAATATGAACAGGAATTTTCCTGACAGCCTAGAAAATCCTTCACTTACAAAGCAGAAGTCTGGACTGTGGGCTGAGACTAACCTAACAAGGCAAGGAAGTGGTTTTCTCTTCTCGGTTTGGTTTGTTCAAGGCTGCGAGCTGTTTTTACTTCTTTAGTATCTCCACATCAGCAAAGTGGCTAGTCTGCATGTGTGGATAGTGCAGAATATCTGCTTTGCTTTACACACCAAAGAGCTTGGCTTCTGTATTGTTACACTGCATGATTACACAAAACAAGTATAGGATAGGAGGTAGACTATTTTTTTTATTTCAAGATTGCATCCCATGTGCAGAGTATCTATACGCCAGTTCTCTTATGGTGTTCAATTTGTTTCCTTTTGAAAGGATCTTGACATTTAGATAAAAGTGATACATTTGATCCGGTGAACCCTGAGCAACGCTCTTTAAGGGGGTCCCAGCAGGTCAGCCTTTGAACAAGAGCTGATACCAATTATCCAAAGTTGGTGTTGTTAAGCTATGAGTCAAAACCTAAGATGGAATGTGGGTCTTTTTTTCTTAGGGCCCCTGCATGATAAAGGGGTTTTATTCTTTTCATGAACTCTTATTCCACAACTCTGATTTAGTTTTGTTGGGTTCCCTTCTCCTATCAATGATATATATATATATATATATATATATATATATATATATATATATATATACAGTACATTCTTTTTTCAGCCTCATCTCGTTTGCTTGGGGATCTCTCTGCCTGCCACAGTAGGAGGCACAGTATGTCAGGCAGGTCAAATATGTTTCTGTTGGTATGAATAACACATTCCACAGTCGGATCTCTATGAAGGACAAACCGAACAGTTACAGTGTTCTAGTTGCTTATGCGTCATTCAAATCATGTTCATCCTTTGCCTGAAGGGAAAGCAATTACTGCGCTTGTCTACTGAAATTAGTAGCAGCAGACATGTCTTATGGAGTTGTTGTCGAATTTCAAAGCAGTCAATTCAAGGTCAATTTACTGTCCTCAATTTTGTGACTGAAATCTGACTGAAGTCCATGTATTAAGTCTACGGCCTTGGTGTTATTTGAAGGTTTTAGCTACTCAAAACAATTTTTAATAGCAACTCTAGGGCAGTTAAATGGGAGGAATTGATGTGTGGTTAGTCCAGTGATTAAGAGGTGAGTGTTGTAACAGCTTTCTGTGTCTGAGGTGTATAATAAAGAGCCTCTGTGTTCAAATCTCTTTCTGTCTCTTCTGTCCATCCAACTCCCTGACCCCAGGAAACAAGAGTTGTTTGAGACTCTGGTCACTGCTAGCTCTGAGTTTTACCATAACGTCTGCCCTGCCTCTGCCATGGCTCCAAGGCAGCAGCTTTACTTTCCTCCCGCCTCCTTCCCTAAACAAGCCTTTTTTCTCGGCTGCACCCATGAGCTGCCCTGCATACAGAGTGGGCAGTGTTGAGTCAGTACTGACCCCTGAGAGCTTTGGAAAACCGTCAAGAAAGCTTTCTGTTTGAGGAGTGACTAGTGGAGGAGAGGAAGAAACACGGAGAGAGAGGAAGGGAGGAGGAGAAGTACTGAAGGCATTGAGGGGTTGACTTTCAAATCTCTTTTTTTCGTGAGCTGTCCTGACCGTGTGTCCTTTCGTCGGCTCTGGCAAGTTGTTGCCAACTCCTTAGTGATTTAAAATGTCTTCTCTCATTCTTCATCTAGTTAATCTCTCCTTTTAATAGTCTCCCTCATATATTACTATACTGTTCCCCTCTTGATAAATGTGGTAAGAAATTGGGCTGGTCAGGCCATTTAGACCATGTCAACGAGACGAAATAGTCTACAGCCATGCTGGTGGCTCTGTGGAAACTGTAATGCTCACGTATCTAATTGTAAAGTAGAAACAAATTGAGGTCCAATTTTAGTTTTAGATCCCTAGTGAGTGTGGTAAAGTATAACAACTCTCTGTCGCTTATCCACACACTCATTACAGCAGCCAGACATTTTTTCCAGCATTTGAGAACAACAACCTTAAAGGATAGCTTTTGACTTCTGTTTGTCAAGTTTCACATTTGAGACAAAGGTTTCATATACAATCTTATGACTAAATCCATGTCTATCTTACTGTATCACATTTCAGTGGTTTATTTTTGTAAATAAAGATCTAAGAATTTGGATTTAATTTGTTTAATTTGTACATACATTTCTAACATCTGTAACATTGATACAAACATTATTATAACCATTTAACATCAAACATGAGTTTAACTAAAAACAATCAATATTGTATTGGGGATCACTCATTTTCCCTCCCATGCTTCTTTATGAAGTCGATTTTTTTTTTGCCTTTGGTTTCGTCGTGCATCTGAGTCAGCTAGTAGGTTAAGGTCAGATATGGGATGGTTGGACAGAGTACAGAGGTTGTGTTTTAGGGAGTTGGGTGTTTGTGTTTTTTGTGTAACATGTGTGAGATCTGAGTTCTTTTGAGGAAGTCACCGCACCTCAATCCACTCAGCAGCCTCATTACACATTCTCCCTTTTTCCTTTCCTCCATGGATCATTTTATGCAATCTTGATTCACAAGACAAACGGTAACATATGGGCATACATATTCATAATCAGATACTGGTATGATCACAAACAATCTCTGTGTCATTTCATCAATATGTCATTCACTCAAATACACAAAACAAACACATGTGGTTTCGAGCTGTATGGGTCAAGGAAGCAGAAAGGCATTTTTAGTAACATAGGTAAAAGGGTGGCGCTGTAGGGGGGCTGACTGCCCAGTGGCGATCTTCTGTGAGATAAATTCTTGTTTCAGCAAGTCTGTTTTAAATATATTCTAAATAAATACCATAACTCCTTGATGGAGGGGATACAGTAACTTCTCAAAACATGTCCCGTTCTCTGTTCAGGATCTCGTTGCAGCCTTGACTTCCTGCCCATTTTATATGTTTGCATTAGAGCCGTCTTGGTAGGGAAAATAGATGCTGGCTCTGAAATGTCCTGCTGTCAAGTTAAAATAGTGTTTTGAGAGGCCTATTTGAAGCCATTTCTTGTTATTGTTATGGCGGCCAGGCTCGGTGCCTGTGGGTATTTGGGCCTAGAGATAAGAGCAGGGGAATAGCATTTAAGCTGCCATGCACACGTAATTTGCTTTCCCAAAATCATTTATTCATGACTTGAAAAGGCCAGCTATTCACCTAGCTCCTTACCCACCTCATTGTGCTGTCAGAGTTATTGATGACACGACTGTATTGTGTCTGCATGCTAATTCACTAACCATTCTTTTAAAGAGCCACAGTGTCGTTGTTGTCCCTCAGTGGATCACTACCTATTCAAAGTTGCTCTTGACAAAGTAAAACATTTCATGTTTTAATATATTTTTATTTTTATTTATGTAACATATACATACTTTCCTATTACAGCAAGAGCAATAATTAGAAATGATTATGTCCTTTTGCTGCTGATGAATATGTGTTTATAAGTTTGGCTTTCCTGAATTCCAAGTCACTTTTTATACATACTTTGTTACAGGGAAGATCCTGTTTAGGAGGAGCCATATCAGAGATGTGGCCATGAAAAGGCTAAGGCCCATCAACGAGTACTGCAGGGTGAGTATTAACCATACTGTTTCTTTATGTGGAAATGTCCAATAGTCATGTGAAAAGCTATCCAGAGACCATTTAAATCTTTAATACAAAGTACTAAAACCAAGATAGAAAGTACAGTGGGTCAAGGGCTAGGAAAAAATGATCCCACCCACAATGTGTCAACTAAGTCATGAACAGGAAAATGGAAAATAATCTTTTCATGACCTCTGTGTATAAAGGAGATCCACAAGTCCAGTTTATTTTAGCACATTCAGGATTACACTAAACAACCCTACCATCTGATTTCAGGAGTAGCTCGTTTATGGTTGAATATGTCTTGGATTACACATTTGGGACATTATCTGTCAGATATTCCTATTGAAAGATGTAGTTATATTGAGCTCATAGACACACTACTGGAGATTCATAACAAAAGTGTTTCTAGGATTACAGTGTTCCAAGAACAGCTGTATGAATTATGCCATTGCCCTTGCTTTGAACATTTGCACTGTGCTGTGTGTGTCATGCTAAATTCCCTGGAGCAGGCCTTTGTGACAGAAGGCATTCAGCCTGCTGAGGTGTCCTAAAATCTCCCCAGGTGCTCTGTAGCTGACTCTGACCTCCCTTTTAAAGGAGACAAACTCAAAGAGAGTCTATCTCAAGGGATCCATATTGAAAGGGCAAAAATTGGTTTGTGTGTGGCGAAATGCGAATAAGACGTCCTATCTCCTCCCAAATGTACGATTAACCTCCAGAAGACATTTAGAAATGTCCTTAATATGTTTACGCTGTTAAGTTGCTGTCAGCGGTAAAAAACATGATGAACTCCACTTCTAAAGAGCGTGTAATGTGTTTGTGGTGTCAGTTTTATCCTTTTAAAAATACTGCAGCCATTTCCACCAGTTAATACAGAGAATGTAAAATCTGTGCATTATCCACCCTATTACATGGCTTTTACCAAAGAGATTAATCACTTGGCATCCAGAGAAAATGCAACTGTACATTCTCAGGCTCCACTGTAGCAGAACTGCACCCATACAACTGCCAATAGCTAGCAACTAATTGCTGCAATTTGACATAAATGTAACTACGGCAACATCAATGAATAAACCGTGATTGATGTTCAGCTTCTTAGCACCAAGATGAGGTTGTTTGCCCTTGAAATTAAATCAAAGGAATAGTTTTCCATTAAAGAAAACAATAAATGTACAACATTTCCATTTTTTTTATTAGGTTGCCAACTGTTTATCTGCAGAAACCACTGACTGAGTTTGTTTTGCAACCTGGGTTCATTACCTTTTATGATCGGGCAACTCCAAACGGATATTTTCAGAAACACTAGGATGGATGAGCTGTTGATGGATCTCGTGTTGAAGTGGTTACTTTCTGCAGAGAGTTGTGCCAAAGGCAGAGAGCTTGCTGAGTGTGCTCCAGTCAGCACATCCACAACCCATAGGTTGTGTTATTTTCTCTTTATTTTACAAGCTTGCCTTTGGGCCTCTAACCCAAACACACAACTCCATCTGTCTCTCTGAGGTAGGATGTTAGTTCTGACTTAGCCCTTACTCATACCTTCATGCATTTTCACCTGTATTATTGTATCACTTCTCCATAAAGAGCCTAGTGAAACCATCATTGTTCACGTTCGTTTCTGTTATGGTGCTGATAGGTCACAAGGCCTCAGAGTGAAGACATCTCTTTATGTATGATGAACATCGGTGCAAACTGGAGGGACTGGAGAATATAAAGCTCTACTTCACCAAATGTCGTCTGGGGTTAAAGGAATGTACAGATGGTGTAGGCAACATCTTTAAACACTTATGTGAAAAATAAAAGTTTGGGGGAGTAATGGGTAAAGTTGTTTGTTCATGTCGATGGGTGTGGATGTTTATGGGAATAGCTGAGAAGTTTTTACACCAGTTTGTCTTGCTGTATTCGAGGGTCTTGTTATGGAAATGTCTGAAAAACACTTTTAATGTTGATTGTTTTGTTAGGTTGGGTCTTTGATTGACATCCACATTTCGTCAACATTATTGAGGGTTTAAGCTTAGTGATGTTTATATTTTCACATAATGATTTTGCTAAAGAACTTCTCAAACAAATCTGAACTTGTCCGTAAGCACAAAAATGGCACTTTCATCCACCCCCACACGCACCCAGGTTGACAACATGAAAATTCATGTTTTTCTCTAGAGAAGAGCTGATTCAGCCCTTCTGTTGTACAGCTGAGGCTTTAACCTGACTCATATGGAATTTCCCCGGTTGTTAAGTTTTGTGTTTTTATTCAGCTCAGGAAACGCAGTCGGAGAGAAGAAAGAAGGAAAGAAAGAATATGGAGTCAGGGACTGTTTGCATAAACCAAGAGTAAGACTGCTGAGCTAGGATGACTTGGAAGGTCACACATCTTGAAATGCATCACATCAAAGAGTTATAAAGTCGTTTTAACATCAATTTAATTTGCCAGTAATTAAAATATATATATAAAAGAGTTCTATAACTGAAATACTACAATTTAAGGAAGTCTATTTCCTCAAAATGTCTTTATTTTCTTTCTTTTTTTCAAAAGAGTCGCCACAATTTTGTAGTGATTTATTTGAGATGTATCAGAGGGAAAAATATAACCTTGCAACTGAGGATATCTACTAGCTCTATGTACATGTGCAAAGTTATTGTGCTCAGATGCATTCACAATGCACTGTACCTTATTGGAGTGCACAAATAGATCTCTCATTTCCATTACCTTTTTTCCTTGGAGAAAAAAAACACACAAACACACACACACGAGCACACACACGAGCACACACAATTACCTTAATGCTGCCTGCTGTAAAGAACACCCATAAAGTCCATTTGCTGTAATGTACCCTGAGCCTCCCTCGCGTCTCCTCCCAAGGGAGAATTATAATGAGAGGACGGCCCACAGGCTGACATGAGGGGAGGAATAAATCCAAGGAGAGGAGGGCCAGTTTAGGATGCACTCTGACCTCAGACACAGTGCAACAGTGTCAGCTGAGGGAATAAACATTGGAGGTCACCCATAAAAACTCTTAAAGGTCCCATGTCATGGCCATTTCTACTGATCATAATTCCATTGTTGAGGTCTACTAGAATAGATTTATATCGTGCAATTTTCCAAAAATCACATTGGTTTCTCATACAGCATCTCTGTATAGTATGTGTATTCACTCTGTCCTAAATGGCTTGTTGGAGCTCCTGCCCCCCCTCCCTATGAGCCCACTGTGCTCTGATTGGTCAGCTCGCCCACTCTGTTCTGATGAGATCACCACCGTTACAGCGGTGCATCAGTGATTATGTGTTACAATGGCGTTAGCAACCAGAAAATGACACCAGTAAAGACAAACAGATGAGAATGCTGCGTGGGGTCTGGGTGCCGTGTTGGTGGGACGTTGCGCGTTGCGCAGCTCACAGTGTGAGCTGGGTTCATTTCCTGCTTGCTGCGTGGGGTCTGCGAGACAGCGAGAAATCGCGTATGGACGCGGGAAGGAGGGGATGCTGAGGGGGCTGCAGCACCCCCCATCTGCGAGGCTCCACTAGCACCCGCACCCCCCCTCCCAGCGCGTCACAGTTTCGCCGCAGAGAGAGAGAGAGAGTGTGTGTGTGTGTGAGGAGCTCCACGGATTGGTCCATTAGAACCAATGGGTCCATTTGGGTATGGGCACGTCACTGTACCCAGGAAGAACAAGAGAAATCTCCAACGAGGCGTTCTGGGGCAGCATAGACAGGTCTTTTCTGTGTTAGAGTTTTACTCGCTACAGGGTGTACTTTGAGGGTTTGTGACTCTGAAGACCACTTACATGCATAAAAACCTTCATAACACACAAGGGGACGGGTAATAACCGGAAAAGCATGACATGGGACCTTTAAACCAGCTACTTAGCTTTAGAGTCTCAATTTATGGAAGAAGCTACTGTGAAAATGTAGATTTTGAGGTCATGTGGGTGCATCTTAATCAAGCTATATTGTATGTGCCATGAATCACATACAAACATGTGAGCACTATACTCTACGGCTAATGGAAAACACTAGTTATACTCTATCCATGGCAGTATTCCCAGTCCTCTCCTCTAACACAAGCTTTTGGCATGCAGGTATAGTCATAAGTATGACAAGGCAAATGTGGCGCATGGGACAAGGGCACCTTGGTTGAGTATTTGGCTTCCTTTCTATTTCTGTCAGTCATGACGTTACATGACTGTGTCTGAGAGTGAGAGAAGTAGACATAGATTCTGCTCTTTTTAAAGGACAGGCCTGAAACACTTAGGAGTATTAAAATCAGAGGTATAGGCCGGCAGAGGAAGCGTGATGGATAGCATTGAGCTAAGCCTGCCAGCAAAAGAAGAAGAGGGAGTGGCTTAGCTCCCCGCTGTAAGAGAGACAGTCACCACAGGGTCGTTGGCGGGAGTTATTCTGTCTCCTGGTTTGGGACATCAGGGTGTTGAGGTGATTATCCGTTTCACTGCTGCCCTTTAGTGGTTTGGTAGAAAGAGATTGAAAGAGTAGGAGAATCAGATAAAACACAGACTCAGGAGAAAACTAAAAAAGAAAGGGCTAAGAAACAGAGACTGTGGGATAACATGATGTTATCAGACGTGTGTGCAAGAGAGTGATCACAACAATAAAGAGAAAACTGAATGTGGCGGTTTTTCTTTCATCTCCAGCCTTGTTGTCAGGGCCCATCACTCTGCCACCAGTAATGCTCCACAGAAGAAAAAGATTAGGGAGGAAGGTAGGCGAGACGGGTCAATGAACGAAAAAACAGAAAAAAACCAGCTGGTGTGATTGAAAAACACTGCAGAAAGACAACGGGAAATAACTAGTTTGTTCTCTTCATCTGGAAATTGAACACCAACGGAGTCAATTGCATAACAATAAGAACCTATGATTGTTGCGTTTATGTAAAATAGGCGACAAACAACTTGGGTTATCAAAAACAACATTTTGAGGATATCCAAATATGTCATGTATGGTGCAAATAATTGTTTGGGAAATGAAATCTTAATAGAGAAAAACAATTCTTTGTCAAAGCATTCAAGGGGACAAACACTTTTTATGTTGTGTAAAAACTAAAGCCAAAACACCATCAGGCCTTTTAGATAAAACAAGTTTCATCATGCCTTTTGGACACTGTAACACTATTCTCCTCCCCTGTGAGGAGGGAAGTCTGAGAATGCCTCTTAAATAATGTCTGTAGTAATTGCTTGCTCCGTGACTTTAGGGAGCCCAGACAGTCATGAACACTATATTTAACCTCTGCTTGACTTCTGTATGCACTGGAGTGATTGTACTTGTCAGTTTATGTGATTAACTCAGTCTTCTGCTTTGTGCCTGCAGGCCCTCATTCAGCTTCCAGTGTACATCTCCCAGTGCGAAGAGGTCAGAGTGTTCTTCGAAACCAGACCTGAAGATATCAACCCACCCAAGGAGTGAGTACCAGACATGGGCAGACACAACCACATAATGTACAAAGAAAAACACACGTTTTCCCTTAATGATGTCATGTCAAGTCACATCCTGCCAACATTTACCTCCAGCCTGCCGATAATGAGCATCCATTACGCCCTCTAATGGATATGATTTCATATCTTTGCACTACTTCCTGTCAAAGTTTTAAAGCAAAAACACACGTAATGTGTCCTTTTTGAACGCTGAGTTAGCATTTTAGCATGTAGCAGCAGGTCAGTTCAGCCAACAGGCTCCAGACAGCTGAGGCTGCATGGGTGCTCCGAAGGCGTGTAGACCTGCTCTGACTGTCTCTTGTAAATATCACTCGGCACATTCGGGTCATATCCAGCGCTGACAGATAATGTGTGCCAAAACGTAGACGTCAGCAGGCAATGAATGCCAGTATCCGACACGTACAAGCACGCGTTGACACGCACACGAGCCTCAGTTACAAATGTGTTGTTATTACAGTTACCACTTTAGGCAGTGGAGGTTATGGGTGGTCGTTTTCACAGAGACCATAATGTGCAGCTGACATGTTGACCCTGGAGATGGTTTTTACACCAAGAGCTTTCAGCCGAGTTATTAGTTTTAAACCTCTTTGTCGTCACATACTGATGTGAAGCACCGGGCATTGAGAAGTTTCCTCAGTCGGCAGGAAATTGAGTTGATAAGTCCTGCGATTTATTCCGTGAGTGCATGTTGGGACATCAGTGAGGAAGCCCATGTAAGGGAGTTGGGGTTTCAATTTGCAAGACAAAAAATCTGCTGAATCTGCATCCATTTTTATTTTAACACATCATTTATTCATTTTGGTCACATCATTCATTGGTCTTTCTGAGTTTCAGGCAACAGTGTGTGTTGTCTCTCAAAGTCACCTTGACATTTAGGCTCTTTAAAACTGCTGCTACCTTTTGATTAATTTGCAGAGGTGGGAGTAAGTCATACATGTGCAAGTCATGAGCAAGTCTCAAGTCTTAACCTACAAGTCTCAAGCAAGTCCCAAGTCACTGTGGTGAGAGTCAAGCAAGTCAAGTCAAGCAAGTCACAAGTCAAATCATACGAAATTCCCCCAGTTTCCACAATTAAATCAGTTAAACATATTGTGGTTCTAAAAGGGCTCTAAAGTGATAACAGGAGTACAACACAAATATTTTACATCAACATGTTAAGCCTCCTGCCCTGGCTCCCCTTCAGCAGGGTCACAGCATTTCTCCATGGTCTGTCTAAAGTGCTCCCATATGACACTGTCTCATTGTTTTCCTAACTGTGTCTGTGCACAAAGAAATATTGCATCAAAGCCAATACAACGGAATAGTGTATGTACCAGGGCGCATGATATATGTGTGTGTGTTTGTGTGCAGACAGTGCGACATTAAGATTAAACACATTTCTTTCATTTGGGAACACCCACATATATGGAGTTGACCAGATGTGTGTAAATTACTGTTCATGGTCATTTGAAAACAAATGCCATTGTCGAACACACACAAACACCGAACACACAGACACAGAGCAGAGCTGATGTGTGTAGAGGTGTGTGTGGTTAAAACGTAGCAGCCTGCGGTCGCTCTTTAGCTGTTCTAATGAAAGTAAACACAGTGAAGGCGTTGCGTAAAAGGCACAGCTCTTTGCACGTTGGTGCTGCACTTCTCAGAGGCGGAGTTACACGTCCCGCTGCCTCCTGGTGCTGTAGCGATTTCATGAAGTGAATGAGAGTCCGAAAACCCAAAAGCCACTGTGCGTAGAATAGTTGGATTTATAACATATTTCAAAGTGATCCTTTTTTGTTGGCACAAAAGTGAGACAATGGCTGTGAGAATTGTTTACATGCGTGTGTTCATTACAGCTCATAATTCACTGTGTTGCTGAGTCGGCATGTCTTCTGTCTGCTAAAGTGTTTTTTTTAGTACAGCCTTAACTAGATATTTTGACTTGTTTATTAGTGTAACAGCATTTAATGTAATTATTAATACATGTTGTGTATAAGCTCTATATTTCCATTATATTCTGGGGTGATTAGGTTAATTTCCATTAGGAGTGACTTTTACTCAGCGAACATCTGGGAGTTCTTGCTCAAGGACAATTAACAGGACACAATGCTGTTATGGAGATTGAATATGAAATGGCTGCTTGCAGAAGCCGGCCATATTGTCATCCATTACGTTGATGGATTCATGTCACTTTGAAGTTAGCTTTATATTGCAGTCATGTGGTTTACTGGGTTTGCTCTATTGCTCAGAACTACACTGATATAGAGATGCTTCTCTAATCCTATCATTTTGTACTGATGGGAAAACAACAAAATTCTGTAACTCTCTTTGAAAAAGAAACTTAATATATGTGTAATCCCTTGCTCTGTACATTATGATATTACAAATGGGTAAATTACACCACTAGCTTTAACACTCTGCAGTAGCTGTTTACCAGTTACAGTATATGATTAAAATCAGAGAAGGTTGCCAAGGACACTTGCCTCCTCTCTCCTATAAAACCCCAAGCATGTGTTAGGAGAGGTAGGACAGAGGGGGAGCATTAGCTTGAGGCAGATGAATACTGTATAGGAAAGACCTTGGTTTGTCTTTATTGAAATTGGATTGCTGCGTTCTGCTAGTGCAGCCTGTTGTTTGGCTGACTGACAACAGGGCTTGTGTACAGACACAGCAGCCACTGTGCGAGCAGATTTATCATGGCCCATAAATCTACTGCACACAGAGGAACATCTTAGAGTTTCTCCTTAAGAGCAGCCAAGTAAGAGGAGAGGAAAAAGAGTCATTCGATATAAAGAGGAAGTAGAGGGTCACAGAGAAACCAGATTTGGTATCTGAGAAGGGAAGGAGTCTGTAGAGAGGAAGTGTTGTAACATAGATCGGGCAAGGAAAGGAAAAGAGAAAGTAGGGGAGTTCATAGGTAGAGCAATGGTGGATGGTGGATTTAGATGAAATAAGAGGTGGATAGAATGAAGAGGAGGTTATAAATAACAAGGGCAGAGGAAGGAGGAGGAGTCGAAGCAAGGATAGGTTGGGATAGAGGGCGACGAATTATGAGTGGTCGGATTTAAGTTACCATTTGAAATAATACTGTATGAGTCGTCTAAGGTTTGCACCTGTATGGTTTGGCTCCAGCTGCAGAAACATGATAGATTTCATTTGAATGGGTCTGCAAGAATCAGAGCCAGAAGTTAATATATATCCATATAAAACATTATCTGGCCGCTCAGGACTCAAACCCTGTTGCCTGATGTGAATGTTCCCATTAATAAGGGTTATTTTTGGTTGTTCTTCAGAGAAATATGAATGAGTTGGGAGATTTGATTTAATATCCTAAACAAGTTATAGTGAAGTAATTATATTAGGCCAATGAAATGGTCAGTGGCTGCATCCGGTGTGTTACGTAACCCTGGTTTCACCTTGGTTGGTGGTTTCAGCTTGGTTCAAAACTAGAATACAACACATACTGTGCACACACATCCCTGCTCTGTAATGATCCATTACATTAGTGTTGCTTTGGTTTGGCCTACTGGGGATTACTTTTTATTGTACATTAATGGGCACGCTTATGGGTATAGATTTATTGAGACTTAAGCCTCTGCAATTAACAGGTCTGCGGATCGAACAAAGCTTTATGTGGCTGGAAGCGCTCATGTTGACGCAGGGAAACTGAGATGCAGTAGTCGCTTAGATAAATGATCAAGGGAGATGAAGGAGTGAGTTAAGGAGACATGGAAGATGTGAGATGGAAAAAGGAAGGTCATTAAGTTAGAGATGAATATTAAGATGACAAAGAGGGAGAGTCTGAGTGAGGGAGGGACATGCTAAGTATTAGCCACCATTGACTTCACAGTGCATCTGGACATTGAATCAGCTCCAGACTACTGCAGTGGAGTGATGGTCTATTTATCTGGCTAATGTCTAAACCAGACACAGCAGATTATTGAATTTACCATCAGACTGCATTTCAGAGATCAAATTTCATCTTGGCTTTTCATTCACATTGGCCGGCATCGGAGGGAGAGGCAGATCTTTTTAGATGTGTATTTTTTTACATATAGGTTACAATAGTGTTGGCAAATTGTAATGATTTGCTGTAGTCAGGGTAGTGTTGTGCTATGGCAGCAAGACACATTCAAAATTCAAATGAAACAATTCAACATATGATCAAATTCAATCCATTCAAAATGTTTAAAAAGTACAATATGTGCTGATTTTCAATGCAAAGATTTAAACTGAAAATGAAAAGGAAAGGTTAAAAAAATTAGTAGTATAATGAAGTAAATGCATATATACAACAACCTACTGTATCAACTTTGGAGTAAAAAATAATACGTAATGTCATATTTAATCCATGTGGATTAAAAGGAAAAACACTTTTTATGCATATTTATAATAGTATTTGTTGTTCATTAGTATCTCCTAAACTCTGCAAACTGATTTGATATTACCTGTTAGTAATGTAATGATGTATTTTCTTTTTCAGGGAACCCATTAGCAAGAAGAAATCAGGTAAGACACATGTATATTTGTGTATTTCCAATAAAAAGGGGGTTAGGTGGCCTTGGCTATGTTTTGTTATTTTATCTTAAAAAATGTGACTTAAAAAATGTGCTTCAGTAGTAACTTCGCTGATTTGATGGGACACCACTTCCATGTATTATTTTAAAAAGGAGTGCATGTCTTCTACAATTCATCTGTTATTCATCCTATAATTTGACATTACTTCCATCTAGTGGTCATATAGTTTTACACACGCAAAACAGCCCAAACGTTCTTGCTACGTGGACAAAGACTATTTCTGTTTCTACTCAATTGTCTGAAATGTTTTCCTGGAGTTTTGTTTACGGAAATCACTTTTTCCATTGTTTTATTGTCTGTGTTTATATTTTCTCTTCTCTTTATTTATTTAATTTTCCTTGTCATTTTTTTCAGTTTTTTTTCTCACTCATTTTCCTTTCCATTAGGGATTGTGGAGAGAGCGACTGCTTTCCTAAACCGAGGTAGTAAACACTTGGTCATGCTGTGTGTGTGACCCAGCAGGCTGCTAGTGGCCTGTTCCCCCCCCTCCTCCCCCGGCCTGGGCAGGTTCGAGGCTTAGGGCTTGAAATGGTTCCGTAAAGTAACTTTAGTATATAGTGTTTGATTGTCACACCCTGGGTGGCTCATTTCTTGGATGCATTTAAAGGGGACCTATCATGCAAAATGCACTTTTGTACGTCTTTTATACATGAATATGTGTCCCCGGTGTTCCAGGGAACTCACCAAGTGTCAGAAAACACAACCCTCTCTATTTTCCTCCATACCCAAATCTCTAAAAAAGGGGCTGCAACGGATCTGATAAAAACTGATCCAGATTTGAGCACTGTCCTGACATCAGGACAGTGGCGCTACGGCTATTGGGCCAACTCCACCAATCAGGAGGAGACAGCCACGGCCATTGCCGTTCGAAAGCGCTGGAGACGCTGTAGTACATATGTCAGGCCAGTAGATGGTGCTGTTCTCACAGAATCAGCCCTTGCAAAAACACGGCTAAAAAAGTGCAAATTAAGCGAAATGAGGCATGGCTAAAATGCATGATCTGTTTGGTATTTTGGAAAAAAAAAAGTATAAATATGCCTCATATAGGTATGGTCCTACACTATATTATTCAAATATAGCATGATAGGTCCACTTTAAGTATGTTGCAATGCGACTGGGGTAGAAAAGAGTAAAGACAATGGAATTTTTAACTGTACACTTACATGTGAGAAATGTACAGAGATAGTCATTTTCAATCATTCTTCATTGCAGAGCTCTATAGGGAGAAGTATTGTTACTGGTTGGTTTAGATATAAATAGTTTAAACCAAAGAGCCTTTAGTGTATTAAGTGTTGTGTGTAAGTTTACTTGGGTCACTTTGGTTATTTTGGAAGCCAAGTGGATCTTCAAGTTAAAAACTTGCCTCATATTTTAATTGTTGTTGTTTGCATAACATTTCACTTAACCTGTGTTCCTCCAGTTCAGCTTTTAATACATTTTGCAATACTAATATTAAACTTCTGATTGACAAAATTGAGAATCTATTGCATATTGATTGAAAATATATACAAGTGATAAAGGAAGGAATTGTTTTGGTGTGTGTGTGTTACAAACACATTATTTTAAAAGGTGTCAATCAGCACCTTGAGTAAACAAAATGTTTCAACCAACATATTCTCTAATTATACGTCATCTATCTGGGTTTCTTCATATGAATCAAGAGAAATGAGCCATAGTGATGTAAAGGTGTGCTACTGGTTGAGTCCTCGTGTGTTACATTGGATCTTACCCAGGCTTTGTTGGTGCTAACACTGGTGGAGGTTCTTAGCGGTGTGAGTTTGTTTCTTTGTGGAAGTTGTCAAAGCTATGCTGATGATTGACTTAACCCTCTACACTAAATCCATAACCTTCACTTCTATTCTCCTACTCTCTTTATTATTCTTCTGTCGGTTTCCCTAACTCCATTTCTCCAATCACATCCGCTTCCTCGTCTGCTACAGTACATGTCAAGGCCAGGGTGAATCCCCATAATCTAGATAAGCCTCTCCTCACTTAAAGCTTTTTATTAAAATGCTTTGGCAGAAATGTTGACCTTGAAATTATTATAATAATCATCAAAAAGTAGTTATTATGCATTTTGACTGGTTTGAAAAGATCATGCCTAAATTGGAGAGTGTGTATAAAATCTGACATTTTAAAAGGTCATATCCCCTTCAGTCAGTGATATGCAAGACATTCTAAAGGTCAATATCTCAAAGCTGCACAGATGCAATCATAGGATTCCAAATTAATGGACATTCATTAAATATCACATTAACAAATATTTCCAAAGAGCCCCCCTGAAAAGCAGAGCGAATTGAGTGGAGGCTTTTTTACATTATTGAGATATCATCCTAAGCCTGCCTAACAAAGGAGAGAAAAGGAAAAAAAGAGCTAACCAGCCTCTGTTCTGATTGGTTCCCGTTAACAGGAGATTCCTCCGCAGCAGACCCTCTCCTCCTCGACCAGTATGTGGCAGTCACAGACTATGAGAAGCAGGAGAGCTCTGAGGTCAGCCTGCATGTGGGTCAGGTGGTCGAGGTCATTGAAAAAAATGAGTCTGGTAAGTTTAGATTGTGCAATGTTTCGCCACCAACTGTTTATCTTGATGCATCCCACTTTTAATATTGTAGTGGATGGAAATGTGTATTCCTGATCTTTATGGAGAGTAGTTTAACATTTGGGGTACATTTGGGTGGAAAAGTAATGAGTATATTAGGAAAAACATAAAAATCCATCATACATTTTAAAGGTGAATTACCAAAAATCCTTAGTAATGTAGATATCATCAACCTATCTTGTATATCAATGTTTTTTCCATTCTTCTCATTTAGGCTGGTGGTTTATCAGCTCCGATGATGCCCAGGGCTGGGTCCCTGCTACTTGTCTTGAGGCACAGGATGACCCTGATGACTTCACTATTCCAGGGGAAGAAGGTACACACACTTTTTTCTTCAGGGTGATGTTTGTTTTCTTTAAAGTAGATGTTTAGATAAAAGAGACCCTATATTTAACTCTCTAACCCAACTGTATGTGTACACTTTTACTTACCAATTAGCTAGCAGAAGTTCAATAATAAATAACCTTTTTGTTCTGTCGTTTTTCCGTTCCTTTTAAAACCTTTAGTGCCACGTCTTTGGCACACACAAGACACCATATATTAAAAGAAGCAGAAGTCAAGGTTACAAAATGTGCAGATGTGGGGAACAAATGTAATGTAATGTTTAATGACCATAGTCTTGGTTTAAGACATATATTGTATTGTACTGTCTGAGCCCTTGAGTCAATCTTTATAACATCTATTTCACTGATATGAAGCAAATTACAAGTATTGTTTATTAAATACTCCTAAGACAATGATAGGGGCTAAGATGGCCTCACAGATCTTAACTAATTCTTGAAAGAACAGGTTATACAATAAAACCCTCTGTGACAGTAGCAGGGTCTAATAGTTTTACCAACATGCTGGTACATACAGATTGGAAAAGGGAATCAGAGGTAACTAAATATACCATAAAGCATGGATTGATTAAGTGACACTAATATTTAAAATATATATACTTAGAGAAGATGCAAAACTGAAAGAGAGTGTCAGTTCTACTAGGCCCGCCAGTACTGAAAATACTTTCAATTAAGATTAAAGAAACATCCTTCAGATGGCGTATATAACGTTCACTTCCTATTTTGCCTCACTTACTGTGCTGGGATGTCAGTGCCTCGGAGATTCTGGTCACTGCCGAGGCACATGGGTCGTCGCAGGACATTAGGGGATCTATTCGGCACTGGTTTTGGGCAAGGTGGAGCGCACGCCTTTCTTCTCCCCCTATTCTAAATGTGTGTGTGCACATGCTCAACTGAGTGTATGTTTGTTTGTCCATGTGTATGCATAACATGTTTGTTGCATGACAGATCCGAGCATGCAAATTAAATCCTTGCATGTAAAGTAGATTGTTTATTTCACTCTGATAATTGAACAAAATATAGTTTGCGTTAACAGGAATTAAACATCTGATTAAACCACAGTTCTACAAAAAATATCTACAATACATAATAACAGTATAAATAATAGAAGTAATGACTGCAAATCTAGTACAGTAGCAAGTTTGTCCTGTTTGTGTTTAATATTTGTGGAGGATGTTTGTGTGTTTTGTGTGTTGCACATGTGTGTATCTACTCTCTCCACATGATGCTGCTCAAGCCTTGCCTCATTCAAATCAGTTAGCTTATGTACATCTGAAGCACTTTGATCCTAAATGACATAGTAACAGTGTTTGGTATGAGAACATATTTTAAAACCTTTTTAAAAAGACAGACAATTTCACTGCCTACAAATATCAACACGTTTATTTTTTAATCTCAGTTAGACTTTAAAATGCTTAAAGCCATTGCAATCCGAGTCTGCCACTGTGTTCCTTGTCTCCCATACCATTATCCTGCATTTATTGTTGCTCCGCTTTGTGTAAACCTGTGTACAGAAAGACAGACTTCAAGTTCTGATATTTAACTAAACTGTGTTTTTATGAATGCAGATGAGAAGTATACAGTGATTTACCAGTACTCGGCCAGGGACCAAGATGAGATCGACCTGGAGAGAGGCATGATTGTCGAGGTGATTCAAAAGAACCTGGAGGGCTGGTGGAAGATCAGGTAATAAATCAATGATGGGTGAAAAACTCCGGAAATGGGACATCAGACCTTAGATAATGATAAAGGAAAAAAAAAAGACTTAACCTCAAACCACTGCCTGTAAGGTCAACACAGCCAGTTTTTTCAGTGTTTCTAAAGCCACATCTTTCCCCCTCTCAGGTATCAGGGTCTTGAGGGCTGGGCCCCGGCCTCCTACCTGAAGAAGACCGACCTCCAGGGCCAGAAGCAGACAGCGGGCGCTGCTGCTCATGCCAGCACCAATGACTTAGATGGGCTTTCTAAGCAGAACCAACAAAATAATGCAGCCAAAGAGAACCAAGACAACAGCCAAAAAGAAAACAGACTGTCCTTTTTTTCTGAGAACAAACTCAGTAAGTGAATTTCAAATAATATAAATTGTCCTTTGCTTTTTATACTTTTTGCTGCTCCATCACTCGACATGATTTATAGCTGTTTGTCTGTAATGCAAAAAAACATACACACAGTCTTAGAAGTGTACAAATATATTATGGTACGTTAAACGATAAACCTTCAACTATTTGACAAGGTAGTGATTAACTCTAGCTTACAGTTTCTGCAGTGAGCATAACAAGTACTCTAAGCTGAAAAAACCTGTGTAATATGAATTAATACAAATAAAACTGCTTTGCATGTACACCTTATTTATTGACTAAATATGTTTTTCCTCCACAGAAGTGGGATTAAGACACCGACCTCCTCCACGCAGAGATCTTACTATTGTAAGAGATCCAGTTAAAATCTCAGATGTACACATTTTTATTGTATAGGAAAGTCAAAGTTAACCTTTTATGCTTCTTTCTCACATTCCACAGCCACGTGGTACAAACCTCCCCAAGCCACCGGTTGCTCCCCTGGTTGAGGAAGAGTTCTACACCATAGCAGACTTCCAGACCACAATCCCTGATGGTATAAGCTTCCAAGCTGGAATCAAAGTTGAGGTGGGTGCAGCACTTTAAAAAAAAAAAAAACAATATCGCAAAATATTTGGTTTTGTAAATGTTTTAATTAATTTATATATTAAAATGAAGTCAATCCTTTTTTTACCCACCAGGTGATAGAGAAGAATAATGGTGGTTGGTGGTACATCCAGATTGATGAGAAAGAGGGCTGGGCCCCTGCCACCTTTATCGACAAGTACAAGAAGACCAGCAATGCAGTGCGCCCTAACTTCCTTGCCCCTCTGCCCAATGAGATGGAGAAGCTGAGACTGGAAAATGGTGGTTCTTCAAATGTTTCAGGCACAGATGACAGCTGGTCCAAGCCTTTACCAGATGAGCCAACCACTGCCCCTGACTCCTGTGCCCGGCCTAAGCTGAGAGATTGGAAGGCCAGTGCCAACAAGGTTCCCCCTACCCTTGCTGGGCCTTTACCTCCAGCCCCATCAGCCCCTCCAGCTGAAGAGAAACCAGCTCTGCCTCCTCGAAGGGAGTCCATTAATAAGAGCTTTGATTTGGAGGTATCAGAGAAACCGAGGCCTGATCTTTCCAAACCTTTGCCTCCAAAACCCCAAGCTCCTGGGGTCATCATGCCGCTGGTTCCACCCAAAGCAGCCCCCTTCAAACCGGACAAACCACCTGAGAACAAGAAAGAAGATAAAAGCAAAGTACTTCACCTCCGGAATGAGATGGGTCTTGAATGTGGCCACAAGATCTCTGCCAAGGAGGTGAAGAAGTTTAATCTGAAACCCGTACCTAAGCAGCCGCCAAAACCCAAAGTAGAAGCACAGGAGGAGAAACCAGATGCAGCCGGCCCCGCAGTGTTTATGAAACCGAAGCCATCGATCCGACCTAAACCGGTTCCAGCCGCCAAGCCAGATCCTCCGGCAGAAAACAAACTCGACATCACTAACCTGAGAAGCAAACTGAGGCCTTCAAAACCTGCAGATCCCAGCTCAGAGGCAAACTCTCAGAATGGGGCCACAACAGCAGAAAAGAGTTCCCATCCCTCTGCACCCCCTAGCTCTCCCCCCCATCATATCCCTACTCTCAGCAATGGTAAGCACTGCGACGAGCCAAAACTCCCCCCAAAACACATAAATGGTCACAGACTGGAGATCTCACCTCCTCCGGCAAAACCAGCAGTGCCTCCCCACAAGGAACCCCCACAGAGACCCCCCAATATGCTTCCAAGGAGACCTCCACCTCCAAAGAAGACGGACCCGTCCAGCCCGACCGAGTCCAAGCCTCCACCTGCTCTAAGAGAAATCCAGGACCATCCCAAAGGCCCCCCACCCAGCCTCAGCAGACCCCCTCCTCCTAAACCAAAGGGGTTTATGCCACCACCTCCTAATAAAGATAAAGAAGAGCCCAAATGTAATAAAGTCCCGGTTCCTCCCAAGCCTCAGTTGAAGCCCGGCCCCCCCAAGGACAAGCTTCCACCGTTACTTATGGAGCCCAGTAAGGATGAGCTGTATTTAGCGGTGGCAGACTTTGAAGGGGATGACCAAACATCCAGCTTCAAGGTGGGTACGGTGTTTGAAGTGATGGAGAAAAAACAGCAGCGGCTGGTGGTTCTGTAAGAATGTAGGACAGGAAGTCGAGACCTGGATCCCCTCGAATTACCTGAGCAAGAAACCTTAGTGCGACGTGCTCTCAAATCCATGACCACATGATTAAACAAACAAACAAAATATCACTACTTTGTAGTTAATAGGCATTTTTTATTTATAGGTACCTTTTTTTTAATAACTGTTTTAAGTAACGTTTTTGTTTCATTTTGATAAAAAACATTACTCAAACTGAACCAGCAATAACACTTCACCTTGTTGTGTCCTATGATGTTTACGTTCTTTGGTTTTTATCTCAATTTTACATGTAAGAAGTGTTGCTTTTGTTGCAGTATTCTAGTCCCAGCCTGTGTCAGTCTTGCTTTTACTTAGGCTAGACTCTAGAATAGGAAATAGGAAATAGGGATCCTATCACAGAAATAAAGCAGATAATGTATCTTTACCCATGCCTTCTATGATATCGTGCCTCTATATTATATGCAAAGTGCTTCAGTGCTTATTAGACTGTATGCAACTGTAGACATAGTCAATAGCCGCGTTCACACCGCAGTACTTTTCCCACTTTAGTTCCGATATAGTTCGTTGTTTGACAAAAATATCGAACTTTTACATCACAGGAGAAAATGCTAGGTGTTCAAATCCAGCTGTAGACAAAAAAGATCTATGAGACAAAGATTGCACATGAACTCACTGGGGGAGTTCCACGACTACATTTGGGCTTTTTAGTGCTATCAGAAGTGACTAAAACAGACATTGTTGCCGAGTAGAATACTGTTTGTTATACTAGAAACATGCATATAAGGTTTTCTGCTAATGTATTGCTTTATTTTGTTGGCTGCATAATTGTGGTTGCAGTGACTTGTAACAGATGTGCACTTTTTTCCGTCATTTCACACAAAACCATTTTGAGGTTTGCACACGCTGAACGAAGGGGAGGAATGCCACAGTGCATTTTATTTGACATGTTATTAGCCATGTTTTTTATACTCACTGTAACACATATTCACCCATGTAAAGATGAGGCTAGAGCAAACAAACTAAAACGTTTCAAAGAATCTCTGTGTGAACGTATTTGACCACAATCATGTTATATTACACCCAAAAAAAAGAAGTGTGAAATGGGACTTAAAGAGCACATCTGCAAATCTGTATCAGATGTCTGACCTAAGAAATTGGTGACCTACAGTGATATGTGCAATGATTTACAATATTGTAAGTGTAAAGTCTTTCGTTAACCGAAGTCTGGTGCTAAAATAACAGCAAAGAATGACCATTGTATAAAAATAATGTTTGACATTAATGCTTGACTGGTATCAAGCATGGTGAGTATAGCTAAATATTTTTTATTGTACAGAAATGAAAAGGCATATCTTAGCTGTTGTCACTTTTTCTTTGATGGTCATTCTGTCATCTATTTTACTCTGTACTGAGGAAGAGGAAGAAAGAGCCAAGAAGGAATGTAGTTGTTGGAATTATGGGATTTGCTAATAAGAGGACGTATAAAGAGCAGCGTCGTTTTTGTTGAAAAAAAGTAACCTAAAGAATTATGTGAACTGGATTCTCATTTCTCACCAGGTTGTCGAGAAATGATTGTCTACATACATTGTTAGGTTTGCTAAATAAATAAGCAAAATTGGAACGTAAAAAACAAGTTAATTGTTTGCTAAACAATCAGACAAGGCTACAAGCTGTAACACCGCTTTTAGTCGCTATAATGTTGTCACCTTACGTTCGTGTTTAATACAGAAAAATGCTGAAGGTTCCCAGACAGAAAATGTTATTGTCGGGGGTTATTTCATGAGGACAAAAGGCAGGTACAGAACGGGGTAAGAAAAATGTATGGGTTGATGGTGTCATCATTTCAGTATTGTAATCATATATACTTTTTTTGCTATGTACTTTTCATTACATAAAGTCTCATGTTGCTTAAGTCAATAAAAGTTTCAGATTTTTCAATTCAGTTGTCTTACGCTCTCAGAATTCATATTTCAAATATCCCAAGAAAAACGGTCACTGCTTAAAGTCGTTTCATTTTTTACTCTGAGAGTAAAACATTGTTAGATTATTCTTTCTTGTTGCACCATTCCACATCTCATATTATCCCTGTAGAGCAGGGGTCTCCAACCTTTCTTCATCTGAGAGCTACTTTCAAAAAATGAAAGTGGCCAAGAGCTACTTGCATCACATCGCTTACATTTATTCACATAGCCCTCATCAGTTGAATTAAGCTATACTTTTGTACACGTGTGAAATTGCAATAACTAAAGCTTATCACAAATCTTAACTTCACATCAAGGTCCAAGAAAACGAAGATTTCTCACATATTATTATGGCCCACATAATAAGTACATCACTGAACATTCACATAAATGTCCTTAATCACCACCTTACAAGCATGTCACTCTTTTGTTAGTGAGATGAATGGCACTGCATGGAGTCCACCATACAGGTGTATGCTGGACCCACTTAGGTTCACTCTAATAGAGTCATTTAAATGTTCATCAGTCAGTATTGTTCTGTATTTAGATTTCATGACATTCATGTCAGAAAAAGCTGCTTCACAAAGGTATGAAAAACAGAACCAGATAAAGCAGACATTTTCAGTGCTGCTTGGTGAATGTTCTATAGTTTTCTGGGTCTACAAGGCTCCAGAAATGTTGTGAGTTTTGCTGAGACTTAAGCTGAACATTATTTTGGAGATCTCCACAGGATTGACACTGAACAGTTGTTCAGCCATCTTTTTCTTCTTCTTCTTCGTCTTGACATTAAATTATAAACCATAATAAATCAATTGTATAGGTCTAGCCTCCCTATATCTGTGTGTGAAAATGGTTCCATCCTCAAAAACAAAAAACGAATACTTCTGCAGTCTAGCTGCAGCTTCTAGCAACGGTCTTCTGTTAAAAAAAAAGACACTGAATGTCTTGAATGTGGCATCACACACAGGACTTGAGTCTGAACACAGCAGACAACAGGAGTATTTAAAAAAAAAAAAAAAAATAGTGCATGTGGGTGCACACTTACATTCTCTGTCTTACTGTTACATAAATCCCATGAATGTATGAGATTAAGTTAGCTTCATCATATCTCAATCAGTGATTAAGTGAATAATAAAGTTTCTATCGGGTCACTATCAGCCTGTCACTCATTATTTTCAGGGAGGGGGCGGGGTTTGGAGGAACAGAGGAGACGGTGATCGCGGAAGCTTTCCTCCTGCCTTCACAAACTTTACACAAGTATTTATCAACTGAAAATAGCAAGAGGACATTCATACTCTGCAATCCAAGACTTGATTACATCCACCAAAAACTTGACATGACGATAACGAGTGTTTTTCAAAAAACACAAATCCCTCCCTGTGTGTCTCTGAGCCGCAGCGACAGGGCCTGATTCAGAGCGGGTCATTCTGCTGTTGGTTCTGGACTGGTGCTGGTGGAGAAAGCAGACTGCTCCGTGTGTGTTGTCGCTGTGGTGCTGTCACGTCTGTTCCTTGATCTCTGCGTCACCGACCATTTGATATTCGTGTGACAGAAAAAATTCTAAAATAAAAAAACTTTATTGTCCACCCGCGGCCGAAAAATCAATAAGCAACCATACGCTATCATCGATAATCGAGCGGCGAGCTACTGAAAAGCTGCCCGCGAGCTACCGGTAGCTCGCGATCGACGTGTTGGAGAGCCCTGCTGTAGAGTTTATATGGCCATCTTTTGTCGGCATCATGCAAGTGAGTACTCCCATTTCATTTTTCAACTAAACTATTACTTTTTTTCGACATACTATAACTTTTTTCATATTTTCCGACATAAAATACTTTGACATTTTTCATATTTTATGACCTTTTTTGATTAATTAAACTAAGACTTTTTTCATATTTTCAGACATACTTTTCTATGATTTTTTTCAAAAATGTCGACAAACTATACCATTACTTTTTTCAACATTTTCCACATACTATACTATGAATTTGTATTGAATTAATCTATTATTTCTTTAACAATGTTTGACATACTATGACTTTTTTCCAATGTTCACTGCCACTTATAAAAGAACCTATGCAACAGTCCACTATTTAGAAAATCTGCCTTTATTAAGAGTTATTATTTACAACAGTGGTTCCTTCTGATACAGTTTCATTCACACTCACAACCCCTCAATACAAATAATATCATGTAAACTGCAACAGAGAGGAAGGCATACATGGAGCCATTAAACATGACAGAAAAGATCATTTTTACAACAAATTTAAATACGTTTGGGAAAATGTGAGGGAGAGAGAGATAAAGCTGTACCTGATTGCTGACCCAGTTCAAAGTAAATATCTAGGTCAAATTACTTTAAAATAAAAACACTTTCTCTCACTAAACAAGGCAACACTTTCCTCAGCTGCAAACTTTAGGTTTAAGATTAAACAGACGCATCTAACAGCAGGCTAAATTGTTGCACTCCCTTCAACATGATATGAAGAGTTATGTTCCAAAATAAGTGAAAAATATGAATGATTGCTTTCCATAAAGTAATGATTATGAAGAATTGAGAATTTCCTAGCAATGCTCTTTCTTTCAAGAGGTTTATTACACCTATCTTTTGGAGTTTAACTCTTCATATATTTCCCCCACTCAGTGCAATTGAAGGCAAACTTTAATAACAAATAAACCTCTTTAAGCTTAGCAAAGACAGACATGGAATATTGCACTTTGGTTAGCAGGCAGTACATTCACTGCGCATGGTATAACAATTATAAACCTAATACATATGTTTTTATTCAAATTTAAATCCCCTATCTAATGTCCTTCATTGAACAACAGTATTTTGCTTTGGCTTCATCAGTTCACTTCCCCATCCAGTGTGACTGAACTTACAGTAAAAAAATACAACAGTAGAAAGAAACAAAAAGTATTTTTCCCTAAAAGTTTTCCCTACTCTGGTCAAACCTCATTCTTTAGTAATCATTAAAAAGAAACAAATTAAAGTTTGATCAGGATTAAGCCTCATCCCCCATTTCAAATAAGATGCAAAATAATAAGCACTAAGCACATGCTCCATACCAATGGTGTTAAAAAAAGAAAAACAATTAAATTAACATTTACAGTGATTAGTCTTCATAAGGTTGTTCTTTTTCAGTGAAAATAAATAAAAGCTGTATGACATCAGCTGACTTATGGATTTACAGGTCAATGAGCAAAGCCATACAGAAAAAGTAAAAAAATAGGTCAGTAAATTTGACTGTATGTACTAGTAAGTATAGTAGTACATTTGGGTGCATTTTTGGTCATGATATTTGGAAGAAGGCAATAGTTAACAAAAAGTGCTTATGTACTGGCTCACCAGCTTTCATAAAAGACAAACGGTCTTCCTTCCTTAAGAAAAAAACTAATCCTCCTAACCAAATACTACTTTCTCTTATCTACTGATTATTAGTTTGACAAAAGAAAAGAAATCCAAACGCTGTATGAAAGCAGATGCTACAGTAATGATCCATATGGAGCACACAATGAGTTTTACCCCCATCAAATACAACAACCCTTTTTTAAAGAAAGAAAAATAAACTTGAAACATTACTTAAAACATAAAAACTCACTAAAACATTAAAAGAACCTAATGAAGGGATGGGTATGCGTTACAGACGAGGCAAATTCAAACTAAGGCAGCAGGCCATTGAAACGCCGGTGGTTGAATGGGTGTTTTTGGTGGCCAGGAGATATTGTGCAACGTCACAGGTTTTCGTTTTGTTTAAGTGGTGGAAGAGTCTTGGTAAGGCACAAACTTGGAGAGTTTATGTGGTGAACTTGGGTTTGGGCAATCAGAACTCTCACCCATCCTGAAGAAAGCCTCCTGCTCCCTTTTTTTAATGCCGAGCTCCTCTTCAAGGGCCTAAAGTATTAGAGGAAAAGCAAAATAAGAATTAGATCATCTTTCACATTGAGGGATTAAACCTTTATTCACATTTGTCTAATACCTTACAGGTGCAACACTCATATGCGCCATAGGAAAAAACATCATACTGTGTGCCGTCGTCTTTTATGCTCCAATCCAAGTTCATTTCAAGGTAAATGAATAGTTTGACACTAATGATAATACACTTTGTTCTCTATCTTGCCAAGAGGAAAGCTTATTGATACCACTCTCATGTCTGAGCTTTACATATGTTATTTAAGCATAAAGACAAGACTCCAGGAATGCCATTGGCGTTTGATTGCAAATAAATGGTCACAGCATGTTAAACTACAAGTTGTTGCTTTATTCGTTTGTGTAAAAATTGAACAACAAATACATGGATTATTTGACTTTAAAAAGTAGCCGTTTTCCACTGCTATAGTTCCTAACTACATGTGCAGGTAGGAGGTGTCGATCTTATCGTCCAAGTCAACACTTGCTTTACTACTTAGCCATTTAGTTATCAGCTGTGTTTTAGATAAATATTTGTATATAAAACTTCCTAATAAATATTGATTTTAATACTAAACCTCAGCAAGGACGGCTTCACTTTGATAAGCCTCTACTGTCCTATCTCTCAGTGCCTTATCCTTATTTAAACATCCTGTATGTTTCACAACAATCAGAGTTTTTTCAGACTCAAGTGGTCATGCTGAGTCTGTCATGGTGGTTGCTTAACTTGAGTACATGTGCGATGTGAATTATTTTGTATATGTTCTTTGTAAAACATAACTATAATGAGTATAGTTTTGTGTTTAAGAGCCATTCATATAAACTATTACAACATTGGGATGTACCTTCTTCCTGGGCTTCAGCTGATCCCTCCACTCTTTCATCAGCTGGTTGTGCTGTTCATCCAGCTGCTTGAGCCTTTGAGTCTCGTTCTCAATCAACAGGTGACATTTTTCATTCTGAAGCACAAAACAAACTCTTGTTAACAACTGCAGCCCATTTATTGTGTTTTTTTTTTAGTTCAGCACATTCTATAGACTGGACAAAAACATGGATACGATAAACCGGTTCCTCACACAAACCAATCGATGTGCAGTGTAACAGATAAGAGTTCCATTCACCTGAAGCTGCTGCAGCTCTCGGATGTTGCACTCGCACTGGCCAATCATCTCTCTCATCTGGTTCTCGTGTTTCTGCTGCTGATTCAGCCTCTCTGCCTTCTGCCGTCGTTCCTCCTGCTGGGAGAACTACAGAGGGACAGAAGGAGTCAGTAACTTAATCTACTTTATGCTTAAAGGTCCCCTATTATACTGTTTTTCATCAATATAGTATAGGTCTCAGATATATACAAAACATGTCTCTGAAGTGTTTGGCTCGAAATACCAAACAGATCGTGCATTGCAGCATCCCATAAACCCCTCTGTTTCAGCCCTGTTTCAAAAGTGCTGATTCTGTGTCTGTTACTTTAGATGAAAATAAGGAGCCACTCCCCCACGCCCCTCAGAGATATTTGGTGACAAAGAACACAATGGTGCTCTCGAGGAGATTCAGGTGATAAGGTGGGGGGGGGTTACCTTGGTTAGTTAGTGGCTAATGGTTACACAAGCCTAAACATCGTTATGACATCATAAAGTGACCAAAATCTGATCAGCTCATTTTCAGACAGGTTTTTATATAAATGGATCAGGATAAAAAGTGAGCGAATCTTTTTTTCTTCAAACTTTCAGAATCTCTTTACACAGATGGGACACATGTTGATGTATAAAAGACATGAACAAGTGGATTTTGTATAATAGGTGACCTTTAAATATAAAGTGAGTAAACCCTTGCTGCCCGTACCTGTTTGATCTTCTCTCTGTCCTCCGAGGAGCTGCCTGTTGAGTTGATGCGGAGACTCTTCTTGAACATGGCCATGCGGGTCTTGGCTTCGCCGCGCTGGATCTTGGGCATGCGGCTCTTCTCCTGCTGCTGCCGAGCTTTCAGGATCTCAATCATTCTCTGGTTGTAGCACTGCATCTGTTCCTGCTCCTGTAGTGACGCAGGACATAGACACATTGTCAATTAAATGTAATATGTTTTCAGGGAATATGAAATATACCCTTTGACATTGCTACTTAAAAAAGTGACACAGGTGGTGGCTGTGACTAACGCAGGCTAAATGCTGCATGCTGAACATAAAATGGAAGGTTAATACCAGATATAAAACTTAATTTTGACATTTACATGTTCAAACATACTGTATAGAAATCCACTGATTTACCTTTTCGTGTTTTTTGAGAAGCTGATGCCTCTGGAGGAAGTACTGGTCTTTCAGCTGCTGCTTCAATAACTGGTGTCTCTCGTAAAGGTTCTTCTCCTCCATGTCCCATATTGTAGCTTCACGCTCTAATCAAAGCAAGGAGGGGACAGAACAAATGATCAAGAGTTACTAAAAAGGCAATGTGTCAACACTGTGACATCCTATTACATCAAGGCTGGGCTAAGATCAATAAAACCGAAGGGTCATTTGATCAGGCGATCCATTAGGGTTTGAATTAACTCCTGTGCTGAACAGATAAAGTACCTCTGATCAGCTGATGTTTCTTGTTAAGGCATTCCCTCTCCGTCTCTGCAATCTCTCTCTTGTTGCTGGTGATGATTCTGTTCAGCGTTGTGTCCAAATGATGCCTTTGAGCCGCCACAAATGTGTCCTCCTAAATCACAGACGAAAGAAAGACAGGGATTTAGGGAAGGAAGGAATAGTTAAAAAAAAGCTAAAACCGTAGTTATCGAGTATTATGTCCACAAGAGAAAAAACTAATGTTTGATTGGACGGTTGTGTAGGTTGTACAGTGGAGGAAATAAGTATTTGATCCCTTGCGGATTTTGTAAGTTTGCCCACTTACAAAGAAATTAACAGTCTATATATTTTCTTTTTTTGGTATTTGTGCCTCTGTGCTGTCCAACATGGGTTTCTCCACCAAGTACAAGACATGTTTTGCAAGGAGATCAAATATGCATTTCCCACAGTTAAATGCAAATCAATTTGTATCTTTTATATAATGTCAATTTCTGGATTTTCTTTTTGATATTCTTACTCTCACTGTTAAAATAAACCTGTTCATTCACTGTTCATTTCTTTGTAAGTGGGTGAACTTACAAAATCGGCAAGGGATCAAATACTTATTTCCTCCACTGTATGTTCCCATTTCCTATTTCATGAATGTATGCATGAACTCCTCCCCATTTACCATGTATCAAAACTCTTCAGTTTAATATTAATATCATAAAACCTTAAGCCCAAAATGACAAACTACTTACGTCTTTTAACTTATTTTCTTGGAAGGACGTCATCCTCTGCTTCAAGGATTCTTTACGCTGACTTCTGGGCAGCTTAACGACAGATTGTTTCACCTAAACGTATTAAAATAAGGAAAACATTATATCCAAAAAGTCTGACGCATGATTGAAACACACAGGCCCACGAGGAAGCAAGCAAAGTATGTGAAGAAGGATAAAGTCTCGAGACAAAGCTTTCCTTGACCTTTTTCATTCCCCATATCTTCATAGTCAATGTACCTCTTTTTTCTTGTGTTTCATCTGATCCTGGAACTTGTGGAGGTCGCGTTCCTGCTCAAATTTGATGCGTTTGGTTTCTTCCTTGAGTTTAACATGGTGATCTCCCTCCATCTTCTCAATAGTCTGCTTCTGGAACTTCTCCAGGTTCTCCAGCTCCACATCGTAGTGCTTCTTCTTGGCCTGGGTTGCGACATGAGGAAACAAGCACACAGTAAGCTTTGTTGAAAAATAAAATGATTTAAAATATGTTGCATCACACCACCAATATTTAGCAATCTCACTAAACTTGATAAAATATTGACTTTACGGTTTTTTGTGACAAACTATAAAAGGATTTTTTGTTAATGAACTTTCTAATGTTTCTTTTTATTTGGCATGTATACAATGAAATGTTTTGTGACATGTTGTATACAGCACTATGACACTCTGAGAAAGTACACTGACAATTTCCATGTATATCGAAAAAATAAGTATATTAGAGAAACCATGACTCACATTCATCTCCTGGTCAAAACGTCTCTGCATTTGTTCTCGCTGTGAGTCCAGTTTGGTGTTCAGACCAGCCTGAGCGCGGTGCTCTTCCTTCTGCAGCAACCGGAGCTCACGTAGCTCCTGACGTCTAAAACACACACAAAAACACACATTTATTTAGGTCTTGTAAATTGCACTCTTGAGGAACCTGCGATCTAAGCGTTCTATACATTACACAATTTCACCGTAGTTGTCTATGTTATGACAATAAACCTTATTTTTAAGATTTTCACTTATGTGTATGATTTCAACAACTCCCCAGACAAGCAAACAAAGTAGAAACTACAAGTTAAAACTCTAACTCTGTACTTGTTCTTTAAAATCTCAAATGTTTCTCCCAGCTACTGAAGGGGCATGCCATAGTCTTGTATTAATTAGAAATAAGCCTGTTGGTATAACTGTAGTCCCATATGCAATGTCATAATTTTACCACTAGATGGCATTGGTAACACATGCGTAACTTCTTGGGTTTCACAAAACTGTTCAGTGTTTTAGATTGTATTAACTATTCACAGAAATCAAATCTTTTATTACAACAAATAAAGTTATATTGATCATTATGTTTAAACATCTAGACTCACAAAACTAAACACAGCTAACCAAATCCCCCCTTTAATCTAAAAGAAACCTTTAGATTTTCCTTTAAACCATTCAATGACATAAAGCAACCTGTACCAAAATAAGTATATTTTCCAAAGTATTTGGAAACTTAAATCTTAAGGGGCCAGAGCCCCAGAGCGCAGGACGCCTCAATCTGAATATGTATTAAATCAGACATTTTGAAACTGAATGCATGTCGTGTAGACAGATTGAATCATGCACATACCGCAGGAATCTCATTTCCTCATCTTTCTTCTCATCATCCTTGATGATCTTGGAGGTGGTCACGCTAACTTCCACGCCGTCAATAACAAACTTCCTGGTTCTCTTCAGAGTCTTACTCGAGAAGTCCTGAGGCAGACAGAGAGGAACAAAGATCAAACAAAAGAGGATGACATTAGATGAAATCAGACTTTAAGTAAAAGGGAGCCCAGTGAAACTCTCACAGGGGGTATTTCTATTAGTTTAATAGTTCAAATATACTGTATGTGGGGGACACAAGAGTTTAGGCTGCACAAACATTCCTTTTTTTATTGAAAAAAAACTTAAATCCCAACCTACGCAGATTTAAGTTAAATCACCTGAGACAAATTATCACATTTCATGCAGCCAATCAAGGCTTTATACAATGTTTTTTTTCTTTTTTAACATATGCACTACCCAAGACATTGATGTGTTAAATGGGTTGAGCTCCCCTTTAAGTATGCGTGCCTTTGTGACTCTCAAGGTAGCTTTTTTATGTGGTGGAAGGAGAGAAAGCGGTTTCTGAATGTGTCAATCCTGTCAATCTGGTTTTACTTTAACAAGCAGCATGATGCTCCATCTGTCACTGTAATGCCATGCAGGAAGTAACCTCATACAGGAAAATATCAATCACTGTGACTTTTTAATTCTTACAAAACTGCCAGGTGAAATTCAGAAAATGTAGTATTAACATAAGGACGAGCAATTCTAGCAGTCTATTTCCAATCATAGGCCTACCAAGAACACAGGCCGGTGACCTTATACTTTAATGTCTGATCAAAGTTGAACAAACTCTCTCAGATTTAGGAGGTTTGAGCGGGGTTGACATAATACATGAACTGTTCCTTATAAATTGAACATAAAAAATTGTTATGGCTTAGAAAAGCATGCGTCCCTAATCTAAAATCAGCCTCCAAGAACAATATTTATATACTTGATATGGCAGGGTTTACTCTGCAAACACTGGGTAGCTCAGTCCCTGTACGTCGTCATTTCCTGGTTTATAAATAGTTTGTATATAAGGAGAGGAAAAGTGGGGAGAGGAGAGGAGAAAAGTGATCCAAAAAAAAGCATGAATTAATTTAGTTTGTGTTAACTTCTGTCCACTCTCACAAAGCTTCCTCTTGAACTCTCTACAGCTGAGCAAATAGGATGAGACTATTACCGTTGATGGCAGCAGCTGGAAGCATTATTCCTGTTCTGTACTGTTGAATCTCTTTCTACAAAACTGACACATTTACGATAGCAGTAAATCAATGTAATTGTGTGTTGGACTGTATTATTAAGTACACACTGGCACTAAAATAAAAGGGCATGTGGGTCATTCTGTAGCTCAGCCTTGTTGTTTGTGGCTTTAACTTCCTATCTCATGTCATTCACAAAACGACAAACACACATCAATTTATCAGCACATGCAAACTCTGCCAATCTCAATCATACTCATGTGTATGAAAAACACACAAATGTAAGTGTCCTCCTGTCCGACAAAGATGGGTCCATTCACTCTGACTGTTTGCTGCTGCTGCTGCTGAATAATCTGTTCTGGAAAAACTTAACATGCCAAACAGACACGACTCCACGCGCAGTCAATAGGATTATATTGATGGGCAGTCTATAAGCCTCCAGAAGCAGCAGAGTGACAATGAGCAGTATAGAAACTTCCATTCACGCTGGTGAAAGCTGAACTGTGCCAAAGGGCACTGTTGGTCCTGATGAATGGGAAATGTTGCATATTTTGCTTCAGAAAGACTTGGTGATAAATGATGAAATGGTTTCTCTCTTTTCTCCCTTTGCCTCCCAATCATCCCTCCCTTGCTGGTACTGTCAGGCTCTGCACACATTTGGTAAATGTTATTACTTTATTGATTATGGGAAAACTCCTTTTTCCATCTTTGATTGAAATGTAATTATGACAAAAATGCACGGTCATGAAGTGACAGTTTTGGAGACTGAGTTTTAACATCTTCCACAGAGGTAATTTAATACAGTAAAAGTGTTTGCCAATAATTTAGCACCACAAAATGTATCCTAAATCATAACCAATAAAGAGAAGAAGAGTAGGGTTTCTGAAGCATGAACTAGTGTCCTTCTCCATAATCTCCCTGAATGCAATATGTTGTGCATGCCTATTGGAAGACAGGCTATCGTCTGTTTCAGATGGTTAACACCCACACCCCAAAACACAACACAATGCACTTTCAGTTCCTCTGTGGGTGCTGAGAAATACTTTCCAAGGAGGGGCTTTCCTTCATAGAGAGCTGCCTCTTCTACAGTAACATACTGGTCTTGTTTACCTTTTAGACATGTTCTCTAGTGAAACACTTCAATAAATAGTAAATAAAGGATACATCTATATCCTGGGTTCGGACATCTTAGCATTTACAAAAGGAGGCAGAAGAAATATATTGAACTAAGATAGATCAGGCTTTTTCAATTAGTTTTGCTTTGTGTCGACTCACCCTTGCAGACATTGAGATATTCCCCTTGTGGCTGGACATGTCCATGCTCTCTGATGCCATGCTGCCTGAATAAGAGTACCGTTTGTTGATAATCCCGCCATTGATAAAAGGTGAGACAGCCTCTGCGTTTCCTCCTGTGGATGTCCGGTCTGGGGTTCCCTGGGTGAGGCTCCCATTGGGCTCAGAGCGGGGTGTAGGCATTTGGGTGGGGGCAGTGGAGGGAGCGGGACTGGGTGCAGGAGTGACACTTGTACTTTTGCTTGGAGTTGGTAAGCCTCCATTAGTCACAACTCTGCTCTCATCCTCTGTCACCTTGACCATGGGCACCTCTGGGTCGTTTGAGACCATAAAGATGTCAACATGTTCCCCAGATGTTGGCTTGGTGAGAGACGGTGGCTGTTCGGTCTCTGGGGTCTCCACAGCAACCTACAAATACATTTTAGGATTGTAATTTAATGAAATCACAGTCAAAACTTGAGAATATCCAGCAGTAGATACACTAATATTCCAAAATCTAAAACTTTGACAAGCACCTTTTCCTCAGATGTTGGGGTACTCTTCCCATCCTCAATGCCCGAATCTGAGCTGGAGGTCTTCGTCGAGGCTTCGCTTTCAGATTTCTCAGACTCGTGAATGACTTCATCGGCCAGTTTGTCGCCCAACTCCTCCGGATCTTTTGGGGGGACACTCTGTCGCGGTAGAGGGACAGGGACCACCATGCCTGGCTGCTCCTCTGCTGGTCTTTCTGCCTCAGCCCCCTTCCTGGGTAGAGGGACTGGTATGGTGGGGGTCTGGGTGGTCAGAGACTGGTCTCCTTCCAAACTGGTCTGACTGGTCTGGCATGGTTCCTTTCCTGGAGACTTTAGGAATGAGGAGGAGGGAGAGAGGATTGTTGTTAAGCGCGAATGCGAAAAACATTTGATGTGTTCACACTTTGACAATAGAACAGCCTGCTTTGAACAATGCTTTGAAATGTATACAATATAACTTTGTTGGAAAATAAAAAAGACAGTCCGGTTATTAACCCTAACCCAACTTTCCATTAATGATCTGTACTAATTTTAAATTGTTTATATAAAATAAAAAAGGCATAATTTTCATACATGTTTTAGGTATCCTAAACACAATGAAGCATCTATCATGAGATAATAGAACTGAAACAATAAAACCAAAAATGAAAATAATAAAATAACCAATAATAATCAAATCAAACAAAATCACATCCCAGTAGCAGCTAAAAAACATTAAAAGCACTCAATCACTGAATTAAGGACTAGAATGCCCTTTAACTTTAGCAACCAGAAGGGAAAATATAGCTTTTCTCCAACACTTGCATACATTCTCAGAAAGAGGCCATTTTCACTATTTCACATGTAATTACAGAAAGTGACGGATGTGTGCTAGACATGGGAATTCTATGGTCTGTAATTATGAACACAAATTAAGATGTTATTTTATAATTATGTACACAGCCATATGTCAATCTAAGCAATTCCGTTTCTTAAAAAAAACTCTCTGCTGACTTAAACCAGAGGCAAACAACACTATCAGACATCTTTATGGTCCGGTTCAGCCTTTCTGATGTCTCAGCAAACATCTCTGTCTGGATGTGTGTGTGATATATAGAAAGAGATTAACACTCAGATAACTGCTTGGCCGGCTTTCAGGGGCTTTTACTGTATGTGTCAAAAAGTTGCTGTGTGTGCACTAGAGTGTCCTTGCTGGAAGAGAAAAGGGAACAAATGGAGGATATCTTAGTTAACCTTAACACAAGGATGAGAAATCTAATGGTTGGATTCACACCGTTTTAACATGCTTTCCTATTTACATATCAATCACATCATATAAATAATAATATCCAGTAAAAAACAAATCCTGTTTCCAAGTTATTTTCACCTACATAAATTCAGATTTCATCACACTAACTGTTGACAAGTAAAAAAAAAGAGATATGATATCAACATTAATTTGCATTGAGAGATGTTTATCACATTTGCCTAGTCACAACTTCCTGTTTGCACTGCAGGAGAGTTTATAAAGGTATTTTCACCTTGTCAGTCCCTGGAGTATATTGATATATGTATTTCTTTACTTAAGGGTCACAGTGTCACAACAGAACAATGTGGGACCTTAAAAAATGTAGTCCATCAGAGGTGAAGTGACAGCGATTCTATACAGGAGCAAGGACGAGGGCAGCACCTATATTTAACTACGTGGGTGTGGATGAATGCCAGTGTTCCGGTTTCTGTTCCTTTGTTTGTGAAAAGTGCAGGAGGTAAACTGCACCTTTATACTACTGCATGTTACTTTCTAAATTGTATGGTTTCTGTGGATTTATGCATGGTTTCTGCAGAATGAACCTTCCGTCCTTTGGCAGGAAGGCCATGTTTACCACAATATGCAGTTCAAAGACTTCAAAGACTAAAGCAGAACATGTGTGTTTTTCTGAGTATGGGAGCATATGCCTTTGTGTGATAATGTGCATGAGTTATGGCAAAACTAAAATGAACAGTTACATGACCTTGTAAATATGAATCTTATGTACTCTTACAATCCAACCCATGAAATGCTCAGTCTGCTTTTGGAAACAAACAATGACGCAGAAAAAAAACGAAGGGACAGAAATGAAAAGTACCACAGTGAGCTCCATGGCGTCGTCCTCCTCGCCTTCCTCCCTATTGTCCTCAATTTCCTCCATGACCTCAGCTTTGGCCTCGGCCACCAGCTCTCGCAGTGGGCGGTTAGATGTCACCTTTCTCACAAAAGGGTGCTGTAGGCACAGAGGACAGAGGATACATGGTTAATTAATTAGCAGTTAAATTACAAAGAGTATTTGTATTACATGTAATGCTTGTACAAATCCGATATATCCTTTACACATAATTTGGACGTTGCCCGTACAAAGAAGGCAAGAGACCAATGTGAGCACATAATTAAAACCCCTACAACAACAAAAAACACAGGCAATAAGGAATAAGACCAGGAATTAGATGAAGATTGGCTAGAAAATAAACATGTCTACTGAAAATGTGAAGCAATTTCATTAAAATACAATGGGTTGCCCATTAGACTGCGACAGGCAAAAGACACAAGGCTGCAGGAGACTTTCCCTGCAGAGGAAACTCTATCTGCCACCTGCCAGTTCCTAAACAGCTACGACAATAGTGTCTATACAACACAACTCTCCCTGATGTAGCAGTTTAATGGCACACTGATGTAGAAGTGTTCAATCATCATGTCCGTAAAATAGCAAGCCATCTTTAGTTTTACAGCCTTGGAGAGACAATTTGTGTTTTTGCCGAAGCGCAAACAGAGCAGTAATAAGTTGAGTGCAAGGGAAATAAAACAACTAAATTAAAAGTTGAGTGCAGCTGAACATCTATTATTCAGAGTCTGTGCACTGCAGTGTAATTTAATTGGAACAGCTGACAAAGGGGAAAAAGCTACAAGTGGTGCTGGACCATGAAGTGTGCATAACTCGGTGTGTGTGTGTGTGTGTGTGTGTGTGTGTGTGTGTGTGTGTGTGTGTGTGTGTGTGTGTGTGTAGACATGTGTTGACCACAGTTGTTTGTGTGCAGTAGCTTGTCCTCGAGGACTGCATTAGGCTTCAGCTCTTAACATCTCCGGTGACAAACAACAGTCGGCTATTGTGTGGTGAGTCAGATAGTGTAAATGCTGAGTGCCATCTTAGCATGTATTATACCACATTGGAAATAAGAATACAAAGATACACACATGCTTAAATTGTCCATTGCAATGTAAGATACTAAGGGTCGCTGTGTTGCTAATGCTAACTCACTAAATCAAAAATAATCATACTTAGCTTTCCTGATCTGACACAGCAGAGTAACTTCATGAACAAGTATTTCAATTCAAATTCAGCACCTTATAAAGAAGAAAGTCACACTAGTTCAATCAAGACACAAAGTTTAACAGATTCAGGCTCCAATAACCTCACTACCACTTCCTGAGTACACACAGACCCGCTGAGAGATCACACACCGGCTGTTAAAGCCATACAATCCTGTGGTGGTACAGACTGAGATGAACAAATGCGGGGACTACAACATTTGCAGCTACACGGCAAATGTAAATGCCGATTGGTCCATTCATTCTTAAAAAATTCTCCACAAGCTTATGATGCTTGGAATAGGGTGTGACAGTTCAGCTAGTGTTGCAGCTGGTACATACATTTAAAGGGTTAGGTAAATAAATAACCTAGCTACTGTTCATAGGTCATGTTCTTTTTACTTTAACCAAGCTTTATTGAATAATATTAAGATTAAAACTAAATAGCTTATCTATTAGAACAAATATCAGAATCATGCTTAGTGATGTTGGTCAATAACTTTAGACATTGACACCATAGCCTAAATGGTGAGTAAAACGAATCAATAACAAACTGTCACTTGCAGCTTTAGTACTATACTTTATTTGAAATAAACACATATAATAGTAAACTATTCCACTGATTATGAATGATTTTTGCACAGTCAACACGACTGATCTAAGCCTACACTGTTTAGTTAAATGTAATACTGTAAGAAACAAAAATCTCTTTCTCCCTCAGGCACCACTGAAACCCTGACAGTAGCAAACATCTGAGATTTCAACTTCCCACTGTTTATTGTAACAAGTGAACAAGAAGACCTCCCATACTCGGGCTGAAGCCAGTTCTCTGAGGCATATCAAAGGGGAGGCAAGGCAAACAGCCAGATTTACAGACACCAACTATGTTTTTCTTACTGCCATTATGGATCAAGATGTGGATCACTGGAGCTCATGTCCTCTCTTTTAGGTTTCATGTTGCGTGTTAGACCCAGGGACTGAGAGATTTTGGCTTTTACATGCATGGCTGGGCGTGAAAAGGTTAAATGTGAACAATATGGCCCATTAGGGGACCGGAGGTGGGGGGGTGCAAGAGGACAGAATTACCTGTTAAGCATTGAGAGTGAAGTGTGTGTTTTCACTTCTGTATTTGTGAGGGGACATTTGAGTTTAAGAACTTGAGAGAGCACATTTTTGGGAAAGTGAGGGAATTTTGTTCAGTCCTCTTCAAAGGGTGGTTCAGAGGTTCAGACTTGTTTTACGTTTAAGGTTATAATTAAATCTAGGTTAAGTTGGGGGGGCAAGTGCTGGTGTTAGGTAAGTAGTAATTTTGGTCTCCGTAAATAAAATGATTTGACTTTTATTTGCACAAATGTTGAAGTATCAGTCTGAGAAAAATACTTTACTCCGTGTGATCCAGAAACATTCTTCCTGTGAAAACTGTTGATAGCATATTGTGGGGTTTATCCAGAGAAACAGACACATGTTGTATTTTTTAACAGTTTTAAACAAAACGGACTCTGGCATTAAGTATGTACATTTATCTATAAGCAAATTTGATTTGCAATATAACAATGTACAGACCACTAACACAGGATAACTTAGATACTGGAGAAAACTTGAAAAGATGGTTAGTGTCAAGCAAGTTCTAAGCTGAGGTTTTTTGGGATGGGTAAAATGATATCTTTGGAAAGTGTAAGTCACTACAAATATGTGTATGATGTCTGTCTGTCTGTTCAGATATAATTGAGTTAGGATTTCAAGAAGAAGTACTAATTTAATCTTTGAATTTGGGTGAAATTACCCTTTAGTGTTATAATTAGGTTGAGACTAAAGTAAGGGTAATGCTTTTGCTTATAGTTGATAGTGTTGTGGCTTTGGGCTTAGGAATGCATGATGTCAATTAGAATTCTCACAAATGTAAATGTATGTGCATTTGTGTCTGCACAATGTTAATTGAAACTGAAAAGCCACTGAGAAAAAAATAAATAAATTGGTATGATAAAATATCAGATATACAGTACAGACTGACATGCTATGATCTTAACAGAAAAGCTTCTTTTGTGATACATGAATGTAGGCTGCTCCCAAAATTGTTGCAGAAATCCTGACCATGAGAAACTATGCGGGAGGAGAAGCTATTTTCAGTGTAATGAGTACAAGTCATCCACATGGTCTCCTGCCAGCACACAGCCACAGTGACTGATACTGTGTCATGTTGTTTGGTAAACAGTCTTTACAAGCACACATGTGCGACAGACTCAAGGCAAGAGGTTCACATTTTTTAAATCTAATAGCATCTTAGTGAAGCCTGATGAAACGTTATCCATTTATTTCCTTTTGAAACAGTCACACACACACAACTCGCATAGTTTAACACCTAGAGTCCAGACACTCCCATCTATGATTCATTATAATCTTCTTGTCACTTCCTGCACTTCATCTGTTCTCCACATCCAATGAATAAAAAAGAAACACCTTAAACAAATCACATATGTAACTCTCACTAAACCAACTTCATTCAACATCCTTTACAAAGCAGAATGTTATGTCATCATTGCACAACTATCTGCAGTAAATACTATCCGACAGCCATTGGGAGCAGCAGGCATGATAAACATCTAAAACCTCCAGCAAGGCATCAAAAACTGGACCGCGCCCGTCTCCCTCCCCCCACTGGAGAGCACATGCAGAATTCCCAGCGGGCCCGGGTCTAGGGTTTTCATCTGAGCCTCTCTCTAATTGGCCAGAGGTGGCGGGCTCAGGGTAATCCAGACATACCATTGGCTGAGGGAGGGAATGTAAATAACTGGCAATCCCTCAGCTGTGGGATACAGACAGGAAACTGTGGCTCTGAATTTTAAAAGACGCTGTGGTCGTGCTTTAATCCACACCCTGTTCACTTTTTCTCTAATTTTCTCTTGCTCAGGACTTTGGGAAAAGTTCAATCTCTGATAATCATGTATTACTGCCAGACTGTCTGTCATCAGAATCCCCTTAGACATAGCCCAGATGTGCCAAAGTGCCTTTACATGTAAGGATTTGTCTTTTCCTACTGTGTCACTAGCTGAAGTAATGTGCACTTACTTTTGTGTGACATTTGTTTATCGTTCATAAATCTTTGACATGACAAAACTCAATTGTCTTTGGGATGGGAATGCCCTAAGGAGAAGCCCTCAGAGGGTTCTTTTAAAATCAATAGAACCATTATCTTAAAGCTGATGGTAACCAAACTTTATTTTTTCCAGATTCGTTTTTTTCGTTTCCGTTTCACTTTGTATGCCATCCTTCTCCTTCTCTGCCGGCTCCTTTTATGCCCACACCTTGCATTCCTCTCCCCCTCACATGCCAGTTCCCTCCACGGGGGCATCGCTCACTTCCCTGGCAAAGATCACTCCATTCAGGTATTACAAATAAAAGACTTAATGTTCCTGTGTGGGTGTTGCTAGATAAGGAAAGAGCTAGGACAATGTTTCTTCATATATCAAAGTTCAGCAGTGTGCAACATCTGCAGTATTATTATAGCGCATTACCTCAATGAGTTGTGTTACAGTCGGACGAGTCTCTGGGTTTTTGTCCAAAGATTTCTTCAGGAAATCTTTAAAGTCCTGTGACCTTGAGTGAACACAGGAAAACAAAAATTAATCAAAACAATAAGTATGAAGAAAGGGGTGGTGGGAGGGGAAGGATGAAGGAAAAGTTACACAACATAACAAAGCATTTCTAGATATGCAAAGTCGGTGCAAGTGGATCATCTTTGTGCTAGGGCTCCTTGATTATGGCAAAAATCATAATCTCGATTATTTGGGTCAATAATTGATATCACGATTATTAAAAACGATTATCCATTTACTTTGAAAACATCAATTTATTGAAAAAAAGAAAAAAAAAGAAAGTAATAATAATCGTTTTATTTCGATTACGTTGTTTTCGTAATAATTGCAAGCCATAATCGTAATTGCGATTAAAATACGATTAATTGAGCAGCCCTACTTTGTGCACAGCTGTGCTTTGTAAAAAAGCTTTCAACAGGAATGATGAGTGGGCTCATTGTCCCAAATGTCCCTTCAGCACCCGATAGCTTCAATTTTGCAGCAACTACATTTGAAGCTATGAAACAGTCAAGACTCATTAAAGTGAAAGGGAAAAACGTATAGTTTGGCACACATTTAAATGCTGAGTTGTTGCTATAGTTTTAGAAAGTGCAAAATTGGCTTAAGGCAGAGAGGGGGAGGTAGATTACAGGAAACTGAAAATGATCAAAATCATTTAGCTGTAGAATGTAAAACAACCAAGTGAATCTAGACAAGAATAAATACGCCCCTGAAACTTATAAATCAAGATTTGTGTGAAAATGTTGGACACATTAGGATTTATTTTCATCCCTTCCAATTATCTTCCAGAATTTCCCCAAATGATATGATCAATTCACTGACCAACTGTACAACAGGTGAATTCAGAGTATTTTTGTATGAATCCTCACCATTTGTGCGGCTGCTCCAGGGTGGGAGGCTCCGACTTGGCGATCTTTAACAGCACCCTCATGGGGTTGAGCTCATGGTGGGGGGGTTCGATCTGCGCCAGCTCGATCAGAGTGATTCCCAGAGACCAGACATCAGCCTTGTAGTCGTATGGAGCATCCTTCATTGTCTCACACATTACCACCTCTGGAGCCATCCTGACACAGAGAAAACAGAAATGTAAGGTATTTATATCATGGACCATTACATAGTGTAAGAACTTGAATGCTCAACTTTTGTTAAAATTGAATAAGTTAAAGTATAGTGCCCATTAATTACATTTAACCTTAAAATGTGCTTTTGGAGTTTTTCCTCCCTTCTCTTGCTATTCAGTACATAATTAACTTTTCTTGTGTAAATGTTTAAATGTATAGAATGTGCAAAAAGTTAAACATACATAATCCTTGTCTTACATTTAACAGGAAAAATGTGCCAATATCTACATCCCATGATTGGTTCACAAATGACTGTGTTGGCTTGAAAGGTAAGTAAAGTAAAGTAATGCAACATACACTAAATGCATCTAAATCTAAACTTTCATTTATTTTGTTTATATTTCCCAGGTGTAACTTCTAAGCATCAAGTGAAATAGCTAATAAGTTACCCAACTTGTAAAGATTGTAACTATCATGTGGTAAAAACCTGATATATCAACACAGCTTGTAAAATAGGGATACGTCTCAACAGGCCCAACACTTTGATATCATGAAGATACACCTACGGTTTTTACAATGTTTTTATCTGAGTAGCTGCAGCAGGTGACATATTGATGATTACTGCTGGGTGGAGAAGGAGTGTTTCTCCTGTTGTCTGCAATATTATTTTAAGGATTGTGCAAAATGAGGGCAAGGTCATGTTTCCATTAGGCTTGGTAGGATATTCATGATGGCTGATAACTTGTTCTAGTCAATGGTTAACTGGCTTCAACACATGGTTTGCTTTGGAGACTTTACAGGGAATCTTTCCAATGTGTTCAGGTAGAGAGAAGAGAACCACGCTGTTGTTACAAAAACAATACAGCACATCAAGTTGAGTGTATGTATACATCATGTTCTTTTGGGCAGGAAATGGCTTTCTAACAAGCCATAAGCCCCTACTTGTATAGCGTATGTAAGGGGTTGTTTATACATCTAAATGTAGAGATTTTGCAATATGTTAAATATGTTTTTAATAGCTCAGGTTGTTTGAATTGAAGACAATTTTTCAAATCAGTGAACAAAAAAATAGGAACATGTTTTATCATGGAATATGTTTTTGAATGTAGAGTAATGTCTTACTTACCAGTATGGCGTTCCAATGAAAGAGTCTCTTCTTTGTAAGGTTTTGGTATTTTTTGCAGACACGCCAAAGTCAGCTAAACAACAAAAAGAGACAAAAAATATGAAGTTGGTTAACATGAGTTTACTAAGGCCTTTTAAAAAGGGAGTGAATGCATTTCAAAACCTTCCATTTTGTGTTTCCCCCTTGATGTAGACAAATTGTAAATCTGTCATGACATTGAGACACAAAGCCAGAATTAGAGAATTTATGGGAGTTCAGTTTCCAAACAAGCTGCCCCCATTTCCTGGCATGACCCTCAGATTATAGGGGTGTTTACCTTTTTTTTTTCCCCCTGCATGCAAGATTTCACGTGTGGCTCGCAGCAGGCTGCTTCAATTACAAACTGGCATGTTCTATTACGGGGAGTTAAGTGACTGTCTGTGTTTTACACATTTCAATTCAAAGGTCATAGTTTAAGATAGTTGCAGACTAAACTATCGAAGAAAAAACGTTAACATCATACAAAGACAATAAATCATACTACTGCTTCCATTGTACATCAAATTAAAGTTTACACCCAAGATTGTAAATATGTTCTGGTATATCATACTAATAGTCAAACCAGACGTCAAAATCACTTCAGTAAATTGTGGTCACGCTGCTGTAAAAGCTGCTGCATCACTGGGTTTAACTCACACTATGTTCCCTTAAACAAGGCGCTGTCTCTCAAGAATAATTATTATACGCAAATATTTCTAGCCTACACGACTCAAGGATGCTATATCTTATTTGTTTGTAATTGTATTAATGTGCTTTCTTGTGCCGTCTTTGATATTCTGTTTCTAGATATGTACAGTATGTAGAACATACCCCAAGGACCCTGAAGAGTTTTTAAAAAATATATAAAAAGTTGACAACCAACTGTTCATATTGAATATTGTGCATTTTGCTGCCTTGTTTGATTTAACATGTAGTTAGATAAGATGGGAGACTGTAAATGAGTCAGTTTCATGACTTAATGAGTTTAAAAAGGCAACTCCCAGTGATTATATCCAACTGTGGTGTCTTTTGGGGAATGGAAGGCCATGGAAAAGGACAAGAAGTCCAGCTAAGTGAGCACAAAATGTGTAATTTGAAAATTGAAGAAAGAATATTGAGGCAATTTGGAATCAGATTAATTTCAAAAAAGTTAACCAGCAATAAAATATGAAGCTCAAAGCAGCTTATCGTTACCCTCCATTGAGTGGTTGGGGCTTGTCTGTCATGACTGAGTGCAAAATAACGGAGTAGTAAAACATCATGCAAAACAGATCTTGATTTGTTTAAAGTTGTATGTCTCAGGATCCAAATGTCGGACAGCCATTGAAAAAAAGCTGTCCTTCCTTATCTCACACTGGCATAAAGCTCTTAAGGACACCATTTTCATTTTTCTAGAAACTGCACTTCAAAACATGCTGGCAAATGTGTTGGATCTGCCTCTTAGCTGTGCAATGTGAAGAATGTGGAGAACTCTTCAAAAAGCCAAAAGATGAAAATATGCAAAGCTTCTGAGAGCGCAGTATTTCCACACAATGGTCACTTTTGATCCTCCTACTGCGCCACAAGAGAGGGACTCTGACTGTGCTGTGTGACAGTATTCATGTGTCTTCTATGCGTTCAGCCCATACGACAAGAAACAATGGACCAGAGTTCCAGAGATAACATGTCATGTGCAATGGGAACATAGGGGTTGTCTTAGAATTAGTTCCACCTGCAACACATTTGGCAGTGAAAGGGTTTTCTCTATGAATGATGGGACATTGAGACAGATAACAAATGGCCTTACAAAATTGATAATCCAACCCATAGATTTGAAATATGTTTAAACCTTTCATCTTCTGCTTTTCTCAGAACACACCCCATTTCATTTTAAGGCTTGTGTGAGATCAAACAAAAAAAAGGCACCTGGACAGCATGATGTCCACACAATGACTAATGGTCAATGCATACAATCTTGCTTTCTAGAAATGAAAAAGTAAACTTTGTAAAGTGTTTAATTATCTAAACCCTCACCCATTTTGATGTCCCCATCCAGCATGAGGAGGATGTTCCCGGCCTTCAGGTCCCTGTGGATGATCTTCATGCTGTGGAGGTAGGTCAGAGCTTCCAGCATCTGGCGACAAACCACCTTAATCTGCGGCTCCGTCAGTCCGCGATCCAACTCTGATAAGAACAAAAGAGATTTAGTGAGAGAGAAATGGAGGGGTTAAAACGGAGGTATGGTAGAGGGACGAGAACAAGAACCAAATCGAATTGAGAGTCAAGAGAAATTAGCTGAGAGGGTTCAAACCCCATTATGCACACCTAGCAGATTCCATATTCAGTGTACGTACAATGATGGCAAGACAAAGTCTCCAGTGCTGATGTAGTGTGTGAACTCCGCCAGAGAAAACAGAAAAAGGTAAACCTGCGATGATATCAATTTAGTTTCTCAGATAGTGTTTCTAATCCCGGATCAGAAAAGCTTTCACACATCCAAGCTAGTCCTGCCCTGCAGACTTTATTCTACCGTGTCTGTGTTTGGTTAGCTGCACTGGGGGGTACAGACAGTTATGAGGATGTGGATTACCCAGCAAAAACACACCAGGGGGTTTTCCCACAGCAGAGGACTCCACTATGTCTGACTGCTTTCTAGAGCATTCAAGGCTAGACTGGTGAGGAACGTGCATGACCATTTTCAGAGCAATCATATTGAGATAAATACAGATTTTCCTGTAGAAAAGAATAACACCATCAGTCTTGAACTGATGAACTAGACAACTTAACAACACATCTTAGACCTTGTTATCTTGTCTCCATACTTATTTAAATTTAAATCACTGCTGAAGTGTAGTCCCAGCACCGTTGCAGGTGTGAAACTATAATCCTGTGACATGAAGAAAGGTGGAGGGCTTATGAAAACACACAGAGAGCCAAAAGTGAGAGGCTTACCTAACATTGTGGCATCCACAGCACCTCCGGGGCAGAACTCGATCATGATCTGGGGAATGAAGGGGGAGGGAGCAAGGGTGAGGTTAAACTTGACCCAGCTTTATGAATATACTGTATAAACATACACTTGACAACTCCCTCTCCTTTTTCAGGCATTCATATGGAGCTACAGGAAGAACGGGTCACTTTTGATCAGCAGAACATGCACAAACTTATATTTATACATTATCAAAGGGCATATTTCCTTACACTATACCAATACATCTCAACACATTACTATCAAATGTTAAACAATACTGTTAAATAATGTTTATCATTCGCTGACTAGAATATGTAAGCTTAAGTTAATTAACAACCAACAGATAACACTCTACTAATAATGAAAAGTGAAAACATTGATAATTCAATGTTTATATAGTGTCATCACTACCTGGAGAGCTCCTCCTGCTCTACATCAGTCAAAAACCCATATATATATATATATATCTATATATATATATAGATATATATATATGGGTTATTGACTGATGTAGAGCAGGAGGAGCTCTCCAGGTAGTGATGACACTATATATATATATACTAGAATACACACACTTCACAAAGTGGACATCTGGATTGCAACTCAAGTGTGTGATAACCTGTCAGGCTGTAATGATACACACTTCCTGGAACACACTGCCAAAACGTATAATACCAGTTCAGCAGTGAAGTAAAAACACACAAAGCGAGAGGGAGACGGGCAAGAAAAAAGACACTCCCTAAATGGTGTCTTGTTGGCCAATAGCAACTTTCATCAACTTGATTTCCTCTCCTTACATAGTCAGTTTCTCTCTGACACACCGGCTGTCAGAAAACCCTCTAAAGTTTCAAAAGTAGGACCAAAGAAAATAAAGACAACACAGGATTTCGTAAGAATCCTGTTAAGAGCAGTTTATCTTGATCTTTTCATTCCAAATGCTCAAAGATCAAACCTAGGTGGTCTGCAGTTATATGATGTCATTCTTAGTTTAATCCTCCTGCTATGACAACAGTGTCAAAGTATTGACCTGGTACTGGACAGGGAGTGGAGTTTCAGTTCAGACAAAGCCATACTGAGGATTATAGGTACAAAAGGTGTAAACAGCCCAGGTAAAGACCAATATGAGAAACTGTGGAGGTATGCATAGTTTTAAAAAATGTGCGTGAGTGAGTGTGTCATGCTCACAGACACACACACACTGGGGAAAAGTCAAAGATGAGGAATGTCAAGCCTGGCATGCAGCTCTCCAGGTGAAACAATGTTCTTTTGTGACATTTGGATTAGCAAACCTCATTCGTTTCTTTAAATGACAGACGACAGAGAGAAAGTCACGCTCCGCTGCTTCCAACTTTTATATCTCTATACTGCATCTAAGATCTGCCCTCGTTTTTTGTACCACTGTTTCTTCAGACAGAGAAATGATTGATTTTGTATAGACACACCTTAATGCCTTATTTAATTAATAACTATTCAATTGTATGTAACATTGAATGGTTACATCTGAAGGAGTTTCAGTTACAGATAGAAAATAAATACTTTCTCATTAGCTACTCTACATTTAACACTAAAACACACTGATGCTTTATTTGCAGATAGCCTACGTGTGGTACCATATTCTAATTCATTCCTTGTTTAAGTTTGGATTAGTCTAGAAAAAGTGACATCACCTTTTTATAACATAAAAATGGGAATCAGCCAAGAGCACAGAAAAAAACAAGATCAAGTTTCTTAGAGATTGTTATGAAAATACTATTGGCACATATACTGTATGGGATTTTTTCAAACTAATATTGATATTCTTCAGCTTCAAAAGTCCATTATCAGTTTGGCTATGTTTGATGTATAGTACTCGATCACGTATAGTAGAACAACGTTTTCAACGTCTTTTTATTGTCAAATATTTATTGGAAATTGTCAATTGAAATGTAAATAGTTAAAATGCAGTATTGATTTTGAAATTGTGCAATACATTTAACAAAACAAAATGTATCATATTTACTACAGTACTTCCTGCTCACCACTAACCGAACACACATTGTTTTTTATTTATCCCGTTTAAAAACCACCGCCTACAGTATCTGAAATGAGCTGTTCTTCAGTAGTAGCACATTGTACTGCCAAACCTAAACAGCTGTACATCACACCACTCTGTCACCAGGAACTGGTTTGTGTTTCCGTCAGTGTCTCGGAAGCCAGATTTGCTCTCCCTGCCTGGAACAATTCTGGGTGACGCGATGTGCTGCAGTGAAAAATGTGCCCCGACTGGTCAAACTACATGCAGCACATACCTACTATGGGCTGAACACGCATGCAGGCAGATACATGCTTTACCTATCTCACGCACACAAAAATGGAAAACCCAATAATCAATTGCAAATACTTTTTTTCCTATTGAGACAAGCTGAACCGAGTTAGATACAGTCTACAAATTCTGAAAAGCCCAAATATAAACAGAACAGGCCTTCTTCCTGTGATTCACAGCGATGTCTCATATCATTTTGTAAGGATGTAAAAAGACTATTTGCCAACGACCTACGGAGAAACTGTGATAGAAATATATCATATAAATCTGAATCACACACACACACTGTTATACTTAGTCACTCTCTGAATGTGACTAATGCTTCAGTAATTTGAGTGCATGGGGTGGTACTATTGATTCACTTGTCATAAAATATCCTAGCAACCACAGCCAGTTACATTATGCAGACCTCGCTGTATGCAAATAATAGCAGAGGTGAAATAAAAAGCTTTGTCCTTGTCTCAGTGTGTTTAAAAGAACCACACAATATTACTTTACAAGGGCCAAAATTAAGGCTCTTAAAATATTGATATACAGACTCTGGGAACACACTACACAGACACAGAGAGAAATGAAATACTTAGAGGGACACTGTCCAACTGTGAAACAGAGCATTTCATTTTACTTAGATTAACTGCAAGATCTTATCTTCAATCGAGAAACTGTCCATATTTTTATTCTCATTTTAACTATAATTTCAACTATAATAGGTTCATATCTTTGGCTTTTTAAAACTCTGATACAGTATATAATCATGGCTAAAAGCAGCAGTTTTTCTCCAAAAAAAACAAAAACAACTAGTGGTAACTAGCCATGCAGACACGTGTGGTTTGATGAACCACACGTGATGAAAGTCTCTCAGATTTCGATTTTTGACCAAACACAAATGAAAGTTTGATTATGGTGCGGTCCTAGCATGGAATATATTTTGTAACAATATGATAAGAAACATCTTTTTTTCGTAGCGCTTCCTTCCCATTACTCTTGAAAATGCAGTGGTTTTTTTTGTATACATTCTGCTGGAGAAAAGGTCCCAATGGATTCGATTGGTATTTAAGTGGTAACATATTTCAGGAAGCCCTATCTCAAAATAGACAGTGGGAGAATGTGTTTTTTGTGACTTGGAAGGACATACCCTTTACTCTGGCAGGCTTTACGATGCTTTTAAATGATGTGTTCATGTTCTCTTGTGTGTTTATTGTCTCTCTTTTTCATCAGTTTAACTGTTCCCCCTTCTCTCTCTCTCCTTGTTAGTTATTCTCAATGTGCTGATGTCAGCAATTCCTTCCCCATGTTAAAGGCCCTCTTTTTCTCACGCTGGGGCTCGATGCCCCTCTAGCCTCAAGACCAGAGTGTTCGTGGATGAGAACAAACAGTCCTTCTCTCTTTCTCTCGCTCTCTCTCTGTCTTAGTCTTTCTTCCTCTCCCTTACTCAGTAGAAAGCAGAAAGCAGAACGAGTGGGTCAGTACAAGAATGCATCATCTCACCCCTGCCCGGTCCACCCAACCGGAGGTTACTGAGGCCTGACCGCCAACCACTGGGCTAATTGTTGAGATCCTGAGGCTAGCACACATTCAAAGGAACGGGGTTCAGAGCTAGTTCACTTCTTCATGTTGTGTATTGGTATTTTACTGCAGGTCAGATGCTCTCATTCCAATTTTGGTTGTCAGTTTCTATACTTTTATTGGTTGATCTTGAAATACAGTTTAAAAAAACGTATCATGGATAGATTAAGAGTCATTATGTGTAATATAAAAAATAAACATCAGTATATGAGCCAAGTAAAAGTTGACACTATGAAGCCACACACACTGCTGGAGGACGTTCACTCTCCAAAGGAATTGTAGTTATCTCACGTTTGAAGTATGTGACATTTGTGCGGTACTCAAGAGATGTAATTGTTCCTGGAGTTTGTTAGTGTTGGTCATTCATGTTTTGCTGGATTTACATAACATTGTAATGCTTAAGTTTTTCATAAAATCACTTTTTTATACTATACATATTCCATGTTTGTTTTACAATAACCATTCAATGTATCTATATGGTAGTTATCTTCCATAGTGAACATCCTTACTTGTGGAATTGCATCCCTTTAATGAGAAGGAGTCACAGGAAACCGCTAAGGATTGTTTATTAAAAAAGCTCTTAAAAAAAAGAAGTAATTTTGGCATTTTCATCAGCGGATTATTTTTTATTTTTGCAACGGAGTAATGGAAGCCGCAGGGGGCCGTTAGACCCCTCCACTTCACAGCAAAGTTACTGCTGTTATGTCTAGACTACTCGTGCTGTGCACATCATAGGTGCAATCAAGTATTTTATTTGGCTGAGCTGTGAATAGATACACCAGTGGCTCTTGAGTTGCATTTCTGAAATAACTACTTCCAATAAACAAGTACTAAACAATGTTTGTTTTAAAAACTGAAAAAAAAAGGAATGAAAAAACAACAGAACAATTATAAACTTGTGTTGATACACGTAGAGGGGTAAAATAAATGCCAGCCTAAGATATCTTTAGTCTTAACGCTGCCTTGTAATTCCTCACATATTCTAGGTTGTGCGTAGCATGAGGTCACTATTATTTTTGTTGGCCAGATACACTGAAAGATTACAGGGGGAGTTGAACACTTGACCCAGTGAGCGAGAGTTGAGAGAGAAAATAACAGGAGAGCAGAAAACACTGAACTGAAATCGATCTTCCTTCTTGCTGTAACATCAGGGTGAGCTCTAGTTCATATCTGATGCATTATGTCACCCTGGGGGGGGGGGGGGGGGTCTTCTGTCATTCCCATTTAGGCAAACCACTTTTCCGCCCCATCTATATTATTCAACAGAGCTTTCATATGTAGCAGAAATATGCTCTGGGTGAGATATTGTTTCAATAAAACAACAAGACGGTCACGGATTGAAATGCAACATCCCGTGAGCCTGCCAACATACATGGTTAGAAGGTCTGTTTGTCTACCTCCCTGCTGATGGTTCAGGTTTGTGTGTTGTGTGTTTGGAAGTGCTGCAAAGAAAACTTGGACACAGAAACTCCTCAACGAAGTGAAAAGAATATATCTTGTGAGAAACGTAACATCAGGTCCCTTTGGTACATTAAGCACTATTCTAAAAACACCAGCAGCCTTGACCACAGTGTTCCCACACAGCAACATGATGTCTATTCAAGCACCATTTCTTCTAAACAGTCTAGTTTCCATTTCATTTGTTCAGCTTAATGAGCCTCTATTATGCTTTTTCAAGTATTTTTTGTGCATGTTAGTGGTCTGCAAAGGCTAGGTGACATCACCATGTAACACTTGCGCTTCTATTGGCTAGCCCGACAGCACATTGTGAGGGATTTTAAGGGGCGGAACATCTCTAAACCATTGACCAATCAGAGCTGGCCAGCTAACCAATCAGAGCAGACTGTGCTCTGGTTTCAGACAAAGGGTGAAAAGAGGTGCTGCAGCACAGGCAGTATGAGAAAAAAAAATACCTTTTTGAACATTAAAGCATGTAAAGTTGTCTAAGTAGAGGCACAAAATAAAAGTATGATCTTTGAAAATGAGCATATCTTCTTTAAGTGCTAAAATGTGCATGTATTATTTTATCAGCCTTGTGTAATAGTGTCCCCTAAAAGAAAGATGAAATAGAAAGAGAGAAGGGTGGAACAGTCTGTGGTTGACACTTAAAGCTTGTGTCTCTTAACCAGATTCCTGTGTGACCTACCCATAGTTTGTTGTCATGGTAGAAAGCATCAAGCAGCTTGACAATATAGCGGTGGTCACATTTGGCCAGGATGTCGATCTCAACGATGTAGTCCTCCAGCTCCTCCTCACATTTTGTCTCGATCAGTTTGGCTGCAGCAAGCACTCCTGTCTCCTTGTTTCTGGCCTGAAGAAACAGAGAAAGAGAACATTTAATTAAACATTCATGAGTTATGGCAGGGCCTGTTTGATGGACTCTTTTTGGCCTAAAAGTCTTTCACAGCAAAGGTAAAATATGACTTTTTGTCTGTGAAGATAGCCCTATGTAGTCAAGAGTTTCAATTCTCATAAAATATTCACAGTGGGTGAGAGAAAGGGTGTGGCTTTGTGCTTTAACAAGAGTGTAAACAACATGGATGATGATGATGATGTTATGCCAATTATGTGAGTAGAAGGTAGAAAATGTCATGATGTAAGAACAAATGTATCCAGTTTCTTGCATGTGAGTATCACTCTGCCAGCTGGACCCAGTTGAAAAGGGACTCCGAAACATAAAAAAAAATGCAATACGGCAATTACAAATGTTGAGTAACTAACATTTAGAGGCAAAACAGGAAAGGAAACTCCACACCCTCCCTGAGCAACTGGGGGAAAGGGAACCACAAAAGCCGTCAATTGTCAGTGTGGCTAAACTTAGACACACACACACAGAGTTCCTTGCAATTCTGAGTAATATAGACAGGAAAACAAAAAACATGAGTAGATTGTTTAGCACTTTGCTGGAAAGCATCAAAACAAATCGGGTGACTCAGGGGGCGTAAAAATCATGATGTTCTTCCTTGTGTAGGAGAGAATGTTGTGAATGTTGATGGGAATTGGGGGTCAACGGTACAATAATGTTAGCCTGTACTGCAGACAGAATATTCACTGACTTTTTTCAAATGAGACACTCTCTGAATGTGAACACTGAAAAAGGGAGTAAAAAACAGAGATGATTATGATCAATGTCGCACCATTATTAACAGCCCCCGAAACTGTCGGATCATCATATCAAATGACTTCCACACAGTTATCCACAGGAAGTAACAGAGATGCACCTCTCCAGAAAGGAAGCGCGTAAAGGTTATGACATATCTAAGTGATCAAAGGAACATTACCAAGTGAGTAAGAGTGTGAAAGTTGGTACTTGTATGAAATGATCTGCCTAAAAAGTCATGTCATGTTGAGAAATTGAGGACGCATGTACACGTGTCCACCCAGTGACCTGTAGAAACACGGCAGACTAAACAGCCCGGTGGAGGTCTGAAGCCTCCGCTTTTACAGGGGCTGTGGGAAAACATCTGAATAAACAGAACAGACTAGCAGCAACACACACACACTCTTTAGCTTATCCCAGTTTGCTGTGTGTGTGTGTGTGTGTGTGTGTGTGTGTGTGTGTGTGTGTGTGTGTGTGTGTGTGTGTGTGTCAAACAGAGTTCCAGAGGAGCCGAACTGACCCCACACCAGGGTAACCCACAGTGCGAGTCAACAGGACGTCTCCTACTGCCATCAAACCATCAGTCAGCCAGCTAACAAGCCTCGACAGTAAACACGGAGACACCAGACACTTTCACTCCTCCGCTAACATCTCAGCTCCCTGTGATTCGCTCCCCTCCTGTGCCAACACTGTCAGCCCCCAGAAACATACTGCCTAGGCCCTGATTTACAGTAGAAATACAGCAGAAGGTACAGACCTACTGGTATTTTAGTTTGTTGGTGTTGTGCCAACTCTCAAAGAAAAAAAGCTCTATACTCTCAGTTCCATCTTTAGAAAACTTGATATATAATATGGCCATGTTTAAGTCATAGTTTCAGAAACAACAACAATCTAGACACACGCTGTTTATTGTTACAACTCTGGCTATATTATAAAGTCTGACAATTTCTCCACAACACAAGTGACTTCCTCATAATATCCTCCTCTTTTGTCTCATCATGATTCAGATGTACAGACCAATAGAATGATAGCTGAAACACTGTATATCAAGTAGGAGTGTCTTAATGTTGTAACCGGGGCGGTTTACATCACCATATTTGCCAGTAAAACACTATGATCTAACAGAAACACAAAGACATGAATGTCTGCCACCACATCAAAACAAAAGAAGAAGTGAATAAGTGGACAGATGTGTTCATTTTTTGTTAAGCTCAATATTAACGGTGCACAAATAAATCTTGACTTTTCAACGGGCAACACCATGACCTAGCTTCACAATTGCACACACACACACACACACACACACACACCTTTACATCTCAGTGGGAACAAAGCTGAGGAATGTGCCTCTGGCCTTCAGATGGTTGGGGGAGTTGAAAAAGAGGGTAGACTGAAAACTCATCATGCATCTATGTGGTGCGTGGCGGGGGGAATGTGTTACGTCAAGGGTCCTCAAGTAGTATGCAAACATGCATATTTGTTTATGCATGCACCTTACAAAGTATATACACTGCCCAGAGAGGAAATTACCCTGAAACGCCTCATTGTGTCTCACATGGGACCTCCTGACTGTACAAGTTGGCGTGACATCAATGCACAAGTGTGTATGTTTGTGTGCTATTGTATGTACACAAGAGAGGAATAATTGCAAGAGGAGGCATCATCCTCTTTAAATCGGAACAACCTTGAAAATACGAGTAACAGTTCCTCCCAGCAAACACAAATGCCTGTCTGACTATCTGACAGATGAATTAAACACTTTATGCCATTGTTGTTGTGATTTATGGAGAGTCTGCTAACCTTACTTCTCATCCTGATTTACTTTCCCCACCTTTCAGGCTCCTATGCATCATGCAGATACTGTATGTAGCATTCTTTTCTAGAAAACCAAAGGTGTGAAAGAACACAGGAAAAGCTAATGCATAATTGAAAAAGCACAAGTATCATCGCACTACTTTATAACCTGGAATTGATTAAGCATCTGTCTTTTAGGGATTATAGTGGTCATATTATTTACATTTAAAATGAAACATGACAAGAACACAGAGGCGCCAGATGACAGCAAGATCTACATAAACACTGTATTAAGTTACAAAATAACAGTTCACAACCAAAGCACTGAAGAAGCAGGAATACAGTCAGCTACTGCTGGCTCTGTAGCCATCCCGAGAGAAAATGACGCCTCGCTGCTTCTAACCCACTGACTCTTCACTCTCTCTAACTCTCCTCCAGAGGACAACAACAGTCTTTGGCTTTGTTTGGGGACTGGTTTCCATGGGGATCAGAAGAACTTGGTTCTGCTTCGTCTCGCAACTAGTCCCGCTGCCTGTTCCTTTTCCTGTTCATTAGTGTCTTCGCTTTCATTTAGGATAAGTGCAAAAGGATTAGCTAACCGACCCACTCATGCTCTTCAACAAAATGACCAATAAAAGACCGTGATATCCATGATATCTTAATAGACCACATGCAAGCTGTGACAAAGTACAATAGGAATTGAGTAAATAAACTAGAGTCAATTACAAAAAAAATGATAGACTGTAAAAACAGAAAAGTACTACAATCTAAATGCCAAAATGTTTTTGTATCTTGCAGTGAGAAATGTATTTACCATCTTAATAAAAATACTGGAAGCTGACATTAATATTATAGTTCTAGGGCCAAAATAACAACTGAAGTCGATCAATAATCAGTATTTGAAAATATAAGATTTAGAGACTTGGGCCTTCATCCAAATGTTTGTGCACTGGTTGCCATTTTCTTTATTTTTATGATGCTTTATTTTAATGATCCATCGGTTTTATTGTTTGCATGTATAGCCATAAACCTGGGTATGATGATCTAACTTATTTCCATCTTGTTTTTCCTGTTTTTAATGTTCACACTGCAGCATATGCGCAGCACACCTCTCGACACTCCTGCCTCATCATTCACTGCCTGCCCCGCTGCACATCTTTTATCTGTCATCCCTTCCTGTATTTCTCCCGCCTACCTGTCAAGTATATTTACCCATCTGTTTTCAGTAACAGTCTGTCTGAAGGCCACAAACCATGACTGACGAGCAGCTTTTAGAAGAAGCAGATGTAACTGACCCATGAGTCAGCATACAAACATACTGTATGTACAGGGAGACTGAGTAAACACACACATAAAAGCACATGATGCCAGCCTTGTGTGTGTGTGTGTGTGTGTGTAGAATTTTGTATTCAGACACAGACAAGTATTTAAAAAAAAATGTAATCAAGCTATGAATAACAATGTTTAGTATTGTATATGTTGACTGTGGCATTAATAATTACTAAGGGTGTGTTGGTTTAAAAGAAAAGTGCTGGATCACACTCAAAAGGGAAAGGAAGTCCAAGGCAAGTAACAACTTCAAGCTTTAAATTAACCAGATTTTCAAAAGACTTATCAGCTTCTCAACATCTTTTCCTTGAGTCTTTGCCCATTAAGACTGTAGGCTGAAAAGAATTAGGAATAGCTAATCATAATGGTAATGGACCAGATGACCTCTTGTAACAAATAACACATTACTTTCCCTAGGGTCAGTCACCTCCAGGTTGGAAGAACACACCACATGCTGACGTGTACTTTCGGCTTTTGTATGGCGTTATAGTTTCTACAAACACACACAAGTACCAAAGGGGAATGTGTGTATGTTAGACCTTTGCCCCGTCATAAAGCTGTAACCTGCCCCCCCTCCTGGGGCTCTCCCATGTGTCTGCAAACAGGAATGTGGTTCTCAGCTCCTACATTATGACAGCAGCTAATAAAACCTCACCTTTGACAGCAGACGCCTTTGGAAGTAATAATCTCTCATTCAGATAAACAAGCTGTACAAGCAACGCCTTTGCATGTACATTTAGATTTGTAATTCTACAATACCATTGTTTGAGAAGAGGCATACTGTGACCACTTGATCAAGAGAGAACGGAAAGTCATTTAGAGAAAATCTTTGTACAACAAAGAGGCCTAATTTCCACTGGAAATGGGGGCAGATGTCCCCCTCACTTTCACAGTTTCAGATTGATTCATTCACTAGTTTGATATTGTAGGAGCTGCTTGAGAGGGACTTCTGTAACTTAATGCTGAGTAAAAATCCCCCTCACACCCATCTACATTTTCCTGTAAAATAATTATTTAACTTGAAATATACAGATACATCTACAAACAAAGATGCTAGTACTGATCATTACAACACAATACATTAAAGC